CTCAGGGTAAGAAAGAGATGTGTCTACTGAACAAAGTAAGATTCCCATTCTGCAGCTTACTTGAGAACAAGTCCCATTTGGTTGTCAAACTTCCTTCCCAATAACAAATATATCCAAATAAAACCAAGCAGAGAAAATATGCCAGTATTGCCCTAATCTGGAAAGAAAGACAATAAATCAGACTGGTTAGAGTATATTTATATTCTAAGCCACTGTAAATTTCTAGAAAAAGAATAGAAAAATAATGGAACCACCTGGAGCATCTTCATTAGGTTATAGGTGAAATCATACAATTTGCTTCTAATTTAGAGAGGATTTTGTACCTTATTAACAGAAAACTAGTATTTGAATAATAATTTCTGAGTCTGATCACCATCGTCTTTCCCTACATGACGGGGAGGTAAAAAGCCTCTTAAATGATGGAAAAATGTCTCATAAGGTATGAAGTAATTGAGAGTTCATCTTGACTGTAATTTACTGATTATTTTTAGGAGATTATAATGGAAACCAGGGCAGAATTACTATACTTGATAAGGAGAGCTTATTGAAATAAACAGTATAATGTGTTAAGAAAGCAAACAAAGGATTCAAGTCAAAAGTGAACCATTAGAAGAAGCCCTGTATGCCAACAGATGCTGACACACACTAACACAAACACCTAAGGAAAGCCTTTACAGAAAAAAACTGTTGCCTCAGAAGCGTACGTTTTGCCTCTCTTTTTGTAAGAAAGACTGAACTGTGCCAACTTGCCCAGTTTTTGATGACACCTCCTGCTGCAGTTCACTGCAAGGATCAGTTTTAAAACCTAGTCCTAATGCTTTTGAGAAATTTGAACCCAGAGCCCTCCAGCCTTCAGGACTTTATTTTCATGACTTAACTTTGTTCCCCCTACCCTTAATTTCAAAGGCATAATCAAACTCATGGCAGGGCTCTTCGTAAGCTTTGTGAACTGGGCCACAGTCAAGAATTTCCACACTGAGTAATTTTATTACATGAAGTTTCCCGCCTGCTGTACAGAGCTATGCAATATTCAGCATGGACATCTGCTTTTCATCTGATTTCTAAAGGAAAGCCTGGTGGATTTCTGCCCCTTTGAAATTAAGGAGTCCGGGAACAAATTTAAGTCGTGAAAATAAAATGCTGAAGCCGGAGGGCTCTGGGTTCAAATTTACAGAAGCACTGATGCTCTGTTTTAAACTGATCTCTTGAGGGAAGCGCAATGGAAAGTATTTCCATCAACTGGGTGAGCTGACACAGTTCAGCCTTTTGGAAAAGCAATCAGGATGCATCGCACGTTCAGACACAGAATTACATCCACTTTAGACCAAAGTAGTAGTTTTCAGTGAAAGACTTTTCAAGGGAAGTTATCAAGGATGGCTGGACCTGAGAAACTAAAAAAACAGATGTCATGAACTTAAACAAAATCTTCAAATTCTCTTACAAAATAAGAGCTTGTTCTAAAAAAGCTTGTTTTACTCCATGCTTCCAAAGCAGCCTCTCTTCCCACGAGATGGAGTTTTTAATGCAACATGAAAAGGCTGCAGAATCATGCTGCTGGCCTCTCAGGGGCAGAAACAGTCACGGAAATCTAATAAATATGGTGGGAAACGCTATTTGGTGTTAGCATTTTCCACTTTCCCATAGTGCATTATTCTTACAGCTCAAGTAAAACAAGAGGCCTGTTTCAGTCTGGGCTGCCACATCATTCAGGCTGCAGCTTCACAGATGTGACATGCTGGCATGAGGCAGGACTTCTGTCAGCAGCAGTCATGCCATGCCCACCCGCTTCTTGCCTCTGTGGTGCCTTCCCTTCCTTGGGCCAGTGGCAGGGATCTTGTGGACAAGAGAAGAAACAGGGCAAGAAACTCATGTGAGTTAAAAGTAACTTGATTTTTCCAGGTGGGGTCTTGTCTCTGCTCCTGTGAGACCGTGCCTGGACTACTGCATCCAGATCTGGGGTCTCTGGTATAAGAAAGACATGGACCTGCTGGAGCAGGGACAGAGGAGGCCACAAAGATGATCAGGGGGATGAAACACCTCTCCTATGAAGAAAGGCTGAGAGAGTTGGGGTTGTTCAGCCTAGAGGAGGCTCCAGGGAGATCTTATTGTGGCCTTTCGATATATACAGGGGGCTCAGAAGAAAAAGAGAGACACTTGTTACTAGGGCCTATAGTGACAGGACAAGGGGCAGCAGTTTTCATCTGAAAGAAGGTAGGTTTAGATTGGACATAAGAAACTCTTCCCTGTGTGGGGGGTGAGGCGCTGGCCCAGGGTGCCCAGAGCAGCTGTGGCTGCCCCCTCCCTGGAAGGGTTCAAGGCCAGGTTGGACGGGGCTGGGAGCCCCCTGGGCTGGGGGAAGGGGGCCCTGCCTGTGGAAGGGGGGTTGGACTAGAAGATCTTTAAAGATTCCTCCCAACCCAAACCGTTCTGTAGTTCTGTGATTCCTGCTCTTTTCTTACCAGTCTGCAATGATACTAATATGCACTTCTTTTCCCATCTGCTGTCAGGATATTTTGGCCTAATTTTTAGATGTGCTGCATACCCATAATGCCAAATGGATGCAGTAAGAGCCATGGGTACTGCTTTGAGTCTTACTGCCATATACTATTTCCATTGGAGTTGCCTGCAGAACTCCCAGTTGAAATAAGGGGCCCACTGTGCCAAGTCCTCTTCACGTACATAATTGGAAACACCCTCAGACACCCCCTGCTCCAAAGTCATTTACAATTAATGAAGCAAGACAGAGGGGAAAAAAGTATTATAGTTGTTGTATGGATAGAATTTTTATGGACAGAGGCATTTAGAGATTTGCTCTGTGACATGGGAACTTTGGAAAAATTAAGATGTTAATCCAGATCCCACCATGCTAGCCTATTGCTTTAAAAAATAAATCTTTCTTCTCTTATGCCATGAGTCAGCATACTCTTCCAAAATGTTGTTTTCAGACTAACAATTGTCAAATTGCTTAGGGAGACTCTAACCTGACATATTTAGTGTGTTCTTCCCACAGCCCTCACAGAAACCCACAGATGTCAGATTAGATCAGACTCAGCCAGGACTGCAAAACCCATCAGGTTTGTAGAGCTACGATGCATGTTAAGATGGTCTAAAACGTAAATCCTCCAAAAATCACTGTGTGTTCCACACTTAGAGAAACACATGAGGATGCAAAGGGCAGCATTTCTAGTTATTACTGCAATATTGTTTTTAAACCTAGAAATTTCTAGACCATAGGAACTCTTCTGGAAGCAGACTACTGCTTTGAATCTCAAATTGCAGCCCCTCCCTGCTGTGAAGAGCTGTCACCACACAGTTGGTGGAGTCCAAACCAGTCTCGCAAACCTGCATGGCATAACATATAAAGCAAAGGATGTTACTGTAACTGTCTGTATACTGATTACAATCAGAGTAGGTGATAAAAAAGAAGAAACTATAATCTAAAATATTTTATTTTCAATATTTACTATTAGAAGAGTGAATCATATGCCTGGACCATTTAAAAGACCATCATTCAGTAAGGATAGAGGAGGGAAAAAAAAAAAAATCAAAATCAATACATTGGTAGAAAGCTGCAGACAATTCACAGTCACAGAAGGTTTTAATTTTATGGATTAAGACTACATAAGGACTAGTGCTAGTTCCAAGTGACAGTCCATCTATCCCAGCATCCTCGAAGCAGCCAGGACAAACTAGAAACAGTCTGTGTAGGCTGATCTTGCTTTTGGGATCACTGGAACCTAAGAGTGTACTTACCAAACATTTCATTGAGCAGCAGTCTCCAAACTTTGTTGATCGTGCACCCCTATCAGTAAAATATTTTTGAGCAGGCACCCCAATATATGTGCATTTATTTGTAGACTATATACCAGTACTAATGAAGTTCTAATTTTTTTTCCTGTCCCCCAATGGATTGTCTTGAAGACCCCCTGGGGTGCATGCACCCCACTTTGGAGACCACAATTATAGAGGCTGTCCCATCATTTTAGTAGCATTTCTAGAAACAACAAATAATATTTTTTAAACACAGGGTGTCTTGCAGCCAATGCAGACACATTAGTTATTGGACTTAATTCAGATGGTAAAGACCTGCCGTATTTGGCTACCAGTAATTGAGACCCTCTTGCATTTACTCAATGCGCATTGAATGCGTTATCAGTTAGAAACAGAAAGGGACAATTTGTCCAAGCTTAAAAAACCCTGTTGCTTTAACAAGCTAGGAACATCAATTTAATGTGGGAAATATTAATAGGAACTGGAAATTGTTCAAGAACATTCTACTGGGTATTAAAAAAAAAAAAGTGCCACAAATTTGCAAGTAGAAAAGAATTCATGCTGGGAAAGAGAGAATTTGTGAAATATAGAAGATGCAGAAATGCTAGTCAAACATTAGCAATCTAAGTATAAAGAATGCAAAAAAAGAATAACAGTAAACTGCAAATTTTAAAAAATGTACTCTGCTGAAAACAAATAAGAAAAGATCAATGGGCAGCATAGTTAAAAGGAACATATGAGAAACCCATTAGAGTAAAAAATTTCTGCACCAAATATTGGTCCATTGCTAGAAACAGGTATTATAATTTTGAACAAAGGCTCAGAAGACAGATGTGTTCATCACTATTTCTCTTCTGATTTCAGAAGGAAGCAGGAGGATAAATCTGCCCAGTAAAATGTTATAGATGGAACAGAAAACCTGGCATCCAGAATGAAGAAAAATATGATGCAGAGTCAGCTGCAACTACACATGTACAAATCAAGCAGCCTAGAGGGAAACAAGCAGCATGGAAAACAGGAAAAGTCTCAGAGATCTTTGAATTACCAGTGTATTCCAAATATTAAAAAAGAGCGGAGAAATGATCCATGAAAACATAGATCTGTTAGTCAGATGCTGAACCTGGACACATAATAAGGAGTTTCATTTAGAAGCCCACCAACATAGAATTGAACACATAAGGTGCAATTAATAATAATCAATGATTTAATGGACTGCATGTATTGTAAAACAAACCTTATTTATTTTATCTTCTTCAATTTTCTTTTTGTTCACAGCTATTGCTCTACTTCACAAAGATAACCGTGTTCATACAGAATATTCATAGGCCCGTGTCTTCAAATCATTTGACCATGGATTTTGAACACCACATTATATGGAACTAAAAGGATATAACTTGGGAATTGGTTCCTATCAGTCTGTTAGTGAATGATTTTGTCACTGCTAGTTTCCACTGATTAAATTTGCACGGGATACCAAAACAAGTGGGGTGGTAAGCAAAAAGAACAGGCAATTTGTAGGAAGTGATATGAATTGCCTGATTAAAAGAGCATATTAAAAAATTGTACAGAGATGTGAGGACATGTATTAAGGCGTAAGAAATACAATCTCACAATACTGAAAACTCACTTCAGAGCAAGGAATCAGAGACATACATATAGATCATCATAAATTAAGTTGAAACTATTTTTTCCCAGCAATGGCAGGGGATGCAAGTCTTGGTGGAACCTAATGACTTTGTCCTGGCTGTCTGAATGCTCCAGTGTGTCTGAAGTTGTAGGGTTCAGTTTAGGGATGAGCCTTCATGATCTTTATGCACAAGGGCAGCCTGAGTTGCCTGACAGGTTTTTTTCTGGCTCTAACTATATTCTCCTGACAAATTTGTAGGTCAACCTGCAAATAGAAGTCCAATCTAAGAAGAGCACTTCTGAGCTCCTAAATGTGTTGACGACATGACAAAATTTAGAACATGATAAATGTTGCAAAAATAAAGTTTATTCAATTGTATTCAAATTCTGAACGTATCTTTCCTTGCCAACTTCTTGCTCCTTTTTATTCCTTATCTCTGATTTTTTATTGGCATAAACATGTTGGGAATATCTGTTTTCAGTTGAATTCTCAGATACAAACATGACTATTCATGCAAAATTAAGACTATGTTGTGTTCACTAATCATTAGTAATCATGCTCTAATTCAGTATCCAAACTCCAATAATTAATCATGGAGCAGAAAAACCGCAATGCAATTGAAGTGACCAGTTATATGTCACAAGGAGCAAACAGTGAAAGTTAACAACTCACGAGCACAGACAATATTTTCCTTCTCAATATTCTGGTGAGGACTTTGAAAATCAGTCTATCATGAAGAATCAGGATCAGTTCATGAATGATTTCTGTGAACAACAACAAAAAAGCTAAAATTATCCTGTAATCCACTTACAATGAATGATTCATCCAGTCCAAGCAACACTCATGCTAATATTTCATTGCTGACCCAAAGAGTTACTCAACTTCCAGGCACCAGTAGAGGTATCTCTTCACACACCATCTTGACAAAGGTTCCACGCAGACAGGCAAGACCCAGTTCTCCTTCTGGAGCAAACTGCTGTCTCCATTAGTTTTGACAGAGCTATTCCTGTTTCACCAGCTCAAAGTCTAGAGCTGAGAAATAACATCAGTAGCCAGAGCAATAATAAAATAACATGGGTTGTTCATTTTCTGAAGGACATATGTATATTAGCTTTTAATGGGTTTAATAGGCTTTGTGTACAGCTTTTATGTCAGTTATGCAGCTTACCATACATATTTACATTCTGATTTCTGCAATGTTCCCAACTTGTTGCTCTAAGTTGTCTTTGCTTTTGTTCCCATAATTTCCACACAAGCCTCTCCAGCAACTTTTTCCTTGTGCTATTTTGTCTTTCCAGTTGTTCCCCATCTAGTTGAGCATCCAGCTTTTCTCTTCATTTCCCTGCCAGTGGTCTGTATCACTTAGTACACATTGACATTTTTGTTTCCTAGGGTTATCTCACAATAGTCTGTGCCCGGTGTCGCGACACGTTTCCCTTCGCACCTGACACCTGCACCTCAGACGTGTAACTTTTAATTTGCTGATGTTTCTAGCTTATCCTCTACCTGTCTGTGGGCAATCAATCTAGTCTTTCTCCATTTTCTGGGACTGGTGGAGATCCATGGATCAGATACGGCTTCTGTGAGGACCAGTACCGCTGTGCTTCAGAAGCACTTGGTAAAAATTGCATTAACTATACTCCATTTTGAGCCCATGAAGACCCAGATGCCCAGTCTCCATGTAAGCTTTGCTATTTTTAGTTTTGTGCCTCCTACATTTTACCTCTTGCAGATTTTCTAACATTTTATTTCATTTCCTTAGCAAAAACATATGGCAAACAGATGCCTAAGCAGGGCCCCAGGCACCCATCTCTTTTTCCAGACTTTTCGGGATATCTGGGAAAATTCTGAAGTTTATCCTGATATGAATTTCACTTGCAATTTATTTCAAGTGCTACCTTTTCAGTGACAGGCATCCTAAACACCACCAATTTTGGAGGTGTGTCATTTTATAATCAAGTTTCTGCCTCTATTTTTTTTTTTCCATAGGCAACCTTGAAACCATAAATAAACTGACCACCAGTTATCAAAAATGGTAGCAGTTGGGCATCAGTCAGAGGAAGCAAGGATGATCTAAAGATCTTCTTTCTCCTTCTCACAAGCATCTTTCAAAATTTAAAATAAATCAGTTGAGATTAATTTACAAACATCAGGTTACCAGTCCCACCCTAAACCTTAAGTAATGTTTTACACACAATGGTGTGACCAAAACGTTGTCTGAGATGAAAAGGAAATGATCTGAAGACTTGAAGATGCTAAACCTAGCTCTGCTTAAAAATTTCTAGTCCCCTCTGAGACTGGGATTTAGCTATTTTGCATAGGTTATGAAAGTGCTGAGCTTGGGCAGAAGTCTCACTTGCTGTGACCAAGGCAACTATTCCATGGGAGAGAGCATCTTCCAAACCAACAGGAAAACAAGAAAGTCTTCAGTAGAGCTGTCGGTCTCTGTCATACACCTTTTTCCCAGCTTCAAGCCTTGTTTTATCCTATAGCTCTTCTCTACCCTTTCCCATTCCTCACCTTTGTTGTACTATTCTAGGGCAATGCATTTAAAATTAGTATTTCAATATGTTGAAATTATTTCTGAATTTTATGTTTCTGAAGTGTATGTATATTCTGGAGAAAGTTTATTTTTGTAAGGGGGACTATATGTGGATATTGGCATTCTTTACTAAGGCTGCTTTGTAATTAATTGCTCATATGGGACCTGAAAGCCAAGAAATAGCATATCTGGTTTACCTCTCTTCTGTCCCCTTCCCAGGTTTCACTCATTCCAGAAACACGAAACATTGAGCGCAGAATTTAAGATGCAATCACGTGTTGAGAAGAGAGTACTGAGAGCCAAACATGTGCAAGATGGCAGATTTACCCTTAGTACTGGACCTATCGCCCAAGCAGATACTCAAGAAGATACCCAAGATACGTCAAGATTTGCTCCAGATATCAGACATCAGGATGTAGATTTAGTCGCAAAATGCAAATGTTTCATTTAGAAACTATTTAAATGAACAACCTCTTCAATTTATTGTCATACTTTCTTTTTCCTTTCTCATTAAAAATGTTGCTTTATTTTTTTGCACAAAGGATGCAAATGCTGCAATGCACCATTTTCCGTATTGATATGTAGCAATCAATTAATGGTGAATTAGATGATTTTACCACTTATAGGACCTGCAGTGGAAGCCGATACACAGGCTGAATGCAATTGCTCTGAAAGGCATAGCACATGGTCAGGAAAGACTATCAGCTCTGAGGCCACAGGGCTCCTTCAGAAGTGATTTACAGGTATCGTGTTCCATATTTTGTATCAAAATTATCCTGCAAAAAAGAAATGTAAAGCAACTAAATCAATTCCAAACTGATTGTGGTATGTGATTTCCAAGGGATGTTTCTTTTTCTCCCAGATAACTTGTATCAACGCAAAATGTTCCTTACAAATGGGGCATCCCTTTTTGTTGTCTGTAGGGAGGAAGAGCTAAAGAAAATGACGACACGCTACCATCACAGGTAATTCCCAAGGGATAGTTAGTTTTTCTTCCCTGCATAGATCAACACATAATGTCCCTGACAGATAAAAGTGAAGTTTTTGCCATCTTTACCACGGAACGGCTAAATACAGAAAATTTCATCACACCAGGTCACAAATACGACTGCTGGAAAGAAGCAAAGCTCTGCAGTCCTCCCACAAGATGACTTCTTAGTATCTATGGAGCATCTTCTTCCCCAAGCTGCAGCTGGTTAGCTGCCAGTTAGTTACAGTTGCTGGCCAGCTGTGCCACCCGGGCAGCAGTGCCTGGACGGAGCTGCTGCCTCCAGCTGAGACCTCCCGGGCACGCCGGCCGGCAGGACCGCCGGGCCCTCTCGCACCAGCCATCCTTTCGCACAGAAATGGGGCAGAAGACTTGCTTCGCCCCCTTCTCCGTAACTTCAGACGTCTCTTCAGGTCTCCTTATGCTTTGTGCTGCAGGCTCTCTGATGTAGGCTGCTGAGCCGCTGCCGCAGTACTCTCTTGATAACGTGCTGCTTAATTTGCCTCAATGTTCTGAGTCATCGCTTTACTATTAATTACTAAATGTGTGCGAGCACAGCATTTGGTAGCTTGTCTTTCGCAGCCACGTGGGGCGGCTGCGGACCAAAGGTGTCAGAACCCACTCGGTGCAGAAGAAATCATGTGTCGCCCTGCTAGCGAGCGCTCGCTCTGCCCATCGTCCTTTCAGCCTGTGCCAGTTTCTCTTTCAGCTCTGCCGACAGCACCACAGGGACCATAGAGAAATGTGACTGGAAAATAATGTGATTTCTGGTTTAATTTCATGAAACACTTGTATTGGTTTCTAAAAGGTATGGACATTTTTTTTTCTTTTCCCTCCTAGAATGACAGTTTTCAAAGAAAATTGATTGCCATCATATGCATTAAAAATGGCATTTAACAGGGACTTTATCAAATGTACTGGAATATTAGCAGATATGTTACGTGCATAAATGTAACATGTTGCACCTTCTCTATCTAATCAGAGAGCTTCTTATTTTCCATCCACCCACTCAGGCACACAGTTATTCATTAGGTACAAAAATGAACTGCACACCTTAAATATATTCAGATTATTGTAAAACTGCCTCCACCTTGCTACCAGAATTGCCAAGGTAAAAATACCCGTCTCTTTCTCAAAAGATAGATGGTGATAATATAGAAATGTTTCCACTTCCAAAGCGCCTATACTAATACAAGGAGTCAATTCTATTTAAAAATAAATTCACACTTGAACAGTTGCTGTACTTGATACATGTATTTCACACACACACAAAAAAACTGTTTAAAAAGTTATGTAGCTCTAGTCAAGCATTTAGAAGTTAGGAAATAAAAGAGCAAGAAGAATCTTCTGTGCCTGAAGAAACTATTTTTCTCCCCCTTCCTGGGTAAGCATTATGATATAGTCCTTAATTACATGCAAATGTGCTTTTTTACCTCAGGAATCCATCTTGTTTAATCCAAAAAGCAACTTAGTCTCCTCAGATTGTTCTACCTGAGCCACCTGTGCCATGAACACCTACAACATTATTTAATATCCCCTCTGGCCTAGTTTTCAGGGCAAACAGAGCTTATGTCATGCTATGACGCTGTCCCTCAGACCCCACTGAGAACTTCTGAACCCACTGGGTGGTCTCAACCAAATACAATGGAAAAGCAGGGGTTTTAAAGAGGAAAACCTTATCCAAGTTTCAGGACAAGCGGGAGAAGGTGAAAGCCCTATCAATGCCTCCACCAAGGCACAGGCTGAAGGTGAGCCCTGCCCTGCTGCCAGCACGGGGGTGGCTCAGCCCCAGGAGCCCGTTCCGCAGGGAACCTGCCTTCACCCGTCCTGCTGCATCCCTGCTGCAGCCCTCACCTCGCCTCTCTTTTCTGAGCATCTGTCTTTTCAGGAATTCCTTTCAGCCCCGAAAATGCTCTGGGTGTGGTACCTTATAGTTTGGGATGATGGGGATTACACTCTTAACGCCTGTATCCGTTTTGACATAGGTGAAATCTGGTTTTGCTCTTTTTTTCTTTTCCTTGGTACTTCCATCGCCTTCAGCCTTTTGTCTGGGTGATGGTGGGTTTTTTGGCTCTATAGCTCTCCCTCACCTTAAACACGCAGTTTGACATTAAAACCCTGTCTAAGCTGAACATCTGGGTTGTGCTTGCAGCCTGGCAGCTTATGGTAAAAATTCTACACACAAGGCATGTCAGGGCAATTTCAGTATTAGATGTTAAAATTCCCCTCTTTCTATGCACACAAGTCACCCTTCAGTCAATATTTCCAACAATTGCCTAGTCTCTGATATGATTTGGTATAGCAAAGGTGGAGTTGGGTAACAGATCACAGCAATAATGCCTGTTAGAAAAAAAAAAATAGATATAAAAAAATCAGCACACTACTTGAGAGTTCATCAGCCATCTCTGCCAAACATGGATCTTGGACAACATTTTGTGGATACAGATGTTTGCACATTGGCAGGAAATTGATTAAATCCTGCTGTTCTTTTTATTCAAACTCTGCTTCCATCTTCTCTCATAAGACAGAGGTCTAACAGTAGATGGTGGATAACCTCTGCTGTATTCATAACTGCTGTGCAATACATATATGTATATTATCACATCGGTTTTGCTGTATGTGCCTTTACTGTCTCTCCTCATCACTGCAAATGATTAAATGAAGTAGCAGGCAGTGAAAAACCATGAAACCTTGCAGTTTGACCCTACCTGTAATACAGGACAGTGAATCTGCTTGTGTCCATGAATATCCAACCCATCTCCCAAGAATTACCATTTCCTCGTTTTGTAAAGATCCCAGTGTTAATTATCTCATACAGAGTGATCACCTTTTTTCTCTCTCTTGCTTTTTAGAGTCCTGATTTGATGATTCAGTTTGTATCCACATGCACTTAGTGACTACACTCTGCCTTAGCAGAAAACGTCTACTGAAGGGCTGCAGCAGGAACGGACATCAATCTAGGGAAGAAACACTACAAAACACTACAATACCGACCTGCAGTCTATAGCAAAAAACGGAGCTTAAAGTCTGATTACAACTCCATGCCTTGTAACTATGCTAAGATATTGTGCTTGACTTCCAATATGTCAACACTGAAATAGGACATTTTTTTATCTTAAATGAGTCAAATACTGGTGACACAGAAATCAATGGCAAAATTCCCACTTTGATAAAATGTGAATGTTATCTGAGAAATTTACATTAATAAAGTATGAGTTTTAAACCACAACATCTGCAATCTTCATGACTTTTGCTAATGAAATTATAAATTGGTAAAAATACAAACAACTTTATATATGTTGACATTCTGTTGCTTCCAACTTTTTATGTCATTCAAGACTATAGAAGAATTAAAATATACTTTTCTGTAATTATGTAAATCTAAGGAAAAATCTAACATTTTAGAATAAAATTTTAACTTTTCATACAATTTTCTTCTGAAATGCTACTATTTGTTGTAGCACAGAGTCTATTATTCAGTCTTTAGAAGTTGCTTCAACAGCAGCTGGGTAGATAGAATAACACTGTTGAAGACTGCAACCTGTGAAGCAAAAAATACCAAACAGCAAGTCTCAAAACCTACAGCCAGTCTTATCTTCTAAAAAGAGTCTGATGAGTTATCAGGCATGATGCTGAGAACCTAAGGTGTCCTGGATAGACCTGTTCTTTGAATGGGACCAGAAGGCCTAGGGCAGCCTCGTGGAAGAGAGAGGAACATACCTCCCACCTGGAACTGATCATACAGAGGGACTAAAAAGCATCATTGCCTTGCAATTCATGGACAGATCCAGGGCACTGACTGGAAAAAAAAAAAAAAAAAAAGGAATGATACCCTCATGCGTGCAACACATTTCCACATTTCATGCAAAACATGTTAAAGTGAAGAGCTGTGAGGATTCACATGTTACACTGGTATGGTGATCACCAGTGCTGTCTCATTGTCCAGCTAAGGGTAGTAGTGAAAGTGTGCCTTTGTCATCAATTCCCCTCCTTACAGTACTGATACCATTCCTACGTATTATGAGTGCTTTTAGCACTACAGCAGGGCTCCTAGGTCTGCTGGAGTGCAGTACAGACCCAGGGCATTTGGATAGTGGAAAAGATAAAGAGCTTTCGGGATAAGTCGTACACAAGGGAACAGAATTGGGGAAGGAACAAGAAGGACAGAGAGAAGAGACTAGTGGCAGAGTACTCTGAAGGTGGCAATGCAAAGAACAAGGCTATTAATAACAAGAAACAAATGTAGGATGTGGGCTGGAAGATGGCAGATCCCAGCATCCTCATCAGCAAGCTCATCCTAGTGCTCCTTATCCAGAGGATGCAGAGTCTAACTATTGCTGTGCAATACATATATGCATATTATCACATCAGTTTTGTCATATGTGCCTTTACTGTCGCTCCTCAGCACCACAAATGATTAAATGAAGTCACATTTGCTCCCCAGGCCTGACATTGAGGAGTGAAGGGGAATAATGAAGGGAAGCAGATCATTTTTTCTCAAGAGAAATCAAGGAGAATAACATCGGTGATTTCCTGAGGTGTTGCACCTTATCCCTCCAGAATTTTGATGTATCGCTTGGGAAAATGATGACTGTTCCTGTTAGGCCATATCTCTGATTCCAGACATAGCAAGAGACTGGACAAATTAGTAGTAAGTATAGCAGTGGAGCAGTAAAATTCATAATAAAACCCTAAGATAATCACAGCTACATTAAAATTTACAGTTTAAAGGAACAACTAAGAGACCTAAGCAACTACGTGCAAAAGAAAGGCAAATAGTAGACTTTGTGCTTAGATCCATAGAAATGTTATCTTGGTTTCTTTTGAGGCCTGAGGCTCATAAGAGCTATTTCGTATTATAACCTCCATCCTATTCACTTTGGGACTGCTGCCCAGCTCAGAGATGACCCTCAGCATGAAGCAGTCAGACAGACTGAAAATGAGAACCAGTCATGTTAGTCAAACGATGCTATCAATGTGCAAGGATGCCAAACACAGCCACACACCAATTAAAGGTTTTTTTGCCCAGTGTTTTACCTGTCTGCAGCTGACATAGAGGAGAACCATTCATAAATGATCAAAATCCATCCTGCAGACATGACACCAGATTTAAAACTGCTAAAATAACTCACTTTCTGTACAACCCAAGCATTAAGCTAATGCCCCTCTTAAGCTTTTCTGACACCCAGAGCTTTTGCACACAGTGAAAATAATCCACATTCACGGTGCCCACAGAACATTAATCCAATCTACTATTTCTGAGGTAAGAAATTAAGCCATTTTAGCCATAATTTAGGGTTTACTTCAAATTGTAATATTGCTATCTTTTAAACAGCATTAAACATCTTTAACTGAAATTGTCTTTTCTACATATTTACGATTTTTTTGTATTACAGATGACTGTAACAGTGAGAAACCAATATTTGAATGGCTCATCTACATACTAAACAAAGATGTAAATATTCAGTATGATGTGCAGGGAATTAGTAGTAGCATTAGCAGTAATGGGACTTGAACAGCTAATTCTCCACATAGCTAGCTGAACATGTACCCCAAAGTACTCATCAAGAAAATCAAACTTTCAATTACATTTTCAACTAAAATAGGCTTTAGAGGCTTTCTTTCTCTGAGACAAAACTTTAAAGTAGGTTTATCTCTAGAAGACTGAACTTCGGGGTTTCACAGCGTTACCGCCATACTAAAAGTAAATAGAATAAGATTCAAACATTATTTATAAAAACAATCCTTACCGTGGAATTATGTCTCTTTGGATCATGCATATTTGTTTATGCAGCAACTCTACTCTACTGTTACAGAACTTGAGCACTTCACAGCTTTAGGGTACACATTACATTGCCTGTGAGGTAGTGAAAAGGTCTACCCAACTGGACAGCAGAGCTGATACCCTTCAGCTTTGCATCTTTGACACCAGACCATCAATCTTCAAGAAGTGCCGATGAGCACCTCTGCAGTAAAACCATCTAGCAGGGAAGAAAGAAACAAGTTTGAAATGTGAACCTAAGCCATTTGTCTGATGCCAGCATTCCCTCTCATGGCTTAGATATAGCTATGACCTAGCAGGAAGGAGGAGACAGTGGAGTTAATTGTAAGTGACTAACTTCTCATTTTGTGTCTTTCGGATAAAAGGGTCTGACTTCTGCCAGAAGCAACTTAAACTTTTCAAGATAATACCAGGAAGCATCACTGTAAAGATCCAGGTCATGAGGGGTTTCCTAGATACAGAGAAATTGATGGATACTGCAAAATGTGTAAGACAGAACGAATCAAAGCAGCACAGGTTCTGAGACAGTGTACTTTATGACTTACTAAGATAATGTTTCAGTTACATTTAAAATTGTACAGCGCTTGACACATATTAGAAATGACAGATACTTTCTAGCAGTAGATGCTGAATTATACCTCAGCCATTCCTCTACTTCCAATGCACCCTGACTTCTCCTAGCAAGAACCACTTCCTTGTGAGTGAAAGTATTCCTTTACACAATTGTCTTATTTATTCTGTTGCCTTCAATCATTTTCAGTGTAACTGCATGGCCAGTTCCTAAGCTAAGTAGCCAACCATTATGTTGGCCATTACAATAATGTAAACACTGTAACAATTACAGAGTAAGACTTTGGGGTTATAATGGAGACTTGTGGGAAAAATTCTCAAACTTGGTTAAAAAAAAAAAGAGGGGGACACATATCAAATGCTAGGAATTGCTTGCAAAGTAATAGACAACAACACAGAAAATACAATTATTACATTGTATAAATCTGTATTTTGCCCACAAAATGAGTACTATGTACAGCTCTGGTCCCCTTATCTCAAAAAAAAAAAAAAAAAAAAAAAAAAGAAAGCACCAAATCCAAACCCAAACCCAAAAAAACAGAACAGGATATATCAGAAATGGAAAAAGCCCACACAAAAACAACAAGGATGTTCAAAGTTATTGAGTAAGTTGTCCACAAGGAGTAGTTGAGCCTGAAAAAAAAAGACAACGTAGAGCAGAAATGAGGTCTACAGAGTAATGAGTAGCATGGGGGGTGGTTGCACAGCAATCAACTGTCAGAAGAGCCAGTCTCTTCACACAGACAGCAGTAGACCTGTGAAAATCTTTGCCAAAGGACTTTGTGCTCAAAAGAGCTTTACTTACGTTCTAGGGGAGACTGGGTGAGCATTTGAAAGAGAGAATCACTGGGTTTACTAAGGATACAAACCGCATTTGGTTCAGGTAACCCCTCAGTGTAAAAAAAAGTTGAAGGCTGGGAGAACATTAAGGAGGAACTAGCGCGTATGCTTGGCCCATTCTTACTCTAACCTCACCGTGCACTTGTGGCCACTGTTGGAGACAGTCCAAAGCCAGATGGTATACAAGGCCCTTGAACCAGCAGTGGCATTAATAGGTCATTACACAGACACATAAATTCCTGATTAACTCAATATACTCCCTGGAGTCTGATGTGGATTTTCAATCAGAAACATTCTGACAAACTTTTTATCCCAGAAAAACAAGATCCAAGAAATATTACACAATCCAAACCAGCCAGGCTACAGATCTTCATGTGTGTTTGCCCCACCTCGCAGCACAAGGCACTTTTTTGGCAGAGTTGAACAATGACTTTCTGGTTATCTCATAAAGGGGAAGAGAGAAGGCAAAGACAAATCTAGAAATCTTAAAAGCAGAGTTGTAACATCAAGTAAGTGGAAAAGCACCCCAAACTGATCTAAGTATTCTAAATTTTGTTTCTGAAATTCCCTGATGTTTTTATTGAACAGGCAGTTCGCTCGTGATCTGCACATTACAGAAGCGGCAGAATGAGAATCACCTGCCTAACTACGCAAGATAAATTAAAAATGGTTTTAAAAACATTTTAATATAAACTGATTATGAATGCAAGCTGACAGTATCACACCTCTGGTCTGAAATTAAAAGACATTCCCAATCCCTCTTTCAAGGCTGATTGGTTTTATAAAAGAAATGTTTACTGGTAAGTATGGTGGATGAACTGGATAAATGAATGTTTGCTCCGTTGATTTGCCACCTTCTATTTTTTTACCCCTGAATACAATTTGTATTTTCTTGTGTCAGAAGTGTTGGAACCTGGACAAAGAATGAAATCCTCACCTTGCTAAATTTAATGTAAATTTTACTATTGACTTGAATGGCACTAGAATTTGATACAGAATTTCTAAGGCTTTGTATAAAAACAAAAATGGACTTCAGTTGGTAAAACTGCCTTGTATGGAAACTCTTTTTTTTTAGCTAGGGTAACTTGCAGAGATTTAGCTTAAGGTGATGCCAGTGTAATTTGGTCCTATAACAAGAGATAAATGTGCACAAAAGACAGTCCCGCTAAAAGCTTTTTAACTGAGTTAACTCAACCTTCCTCTTAAGTAAAGTAAAACTGCTTAGGTTACCTTGCAAGTGAAACTGAGAATATCTGATACACCATTGCTATAGCGCATACTGAAAGCTGAGCAGTAGTTCTGAGTGGGAGAAATCATCTTCAGCTCCAGTGGGAACGAAAAGATGTTGGGGAAAAAAACATGGATCTTGATGAAATTCCAGTCATGGGGAAGCTCCCAGGTCAGACCACAACCCCAGCAACGCTTGTTTTAATGTTTTATCTCCTTTGGTAATGCCAGTAGTGGACAGCTAAGGCTCCCCCAGGCGATGGGCTGCAGGTACACGTTCCCCAAGAATCAGCAACACGAGCTCCCACCTTCACCCTGCTCTTGTCAGCTGGGAAACCCTACTGCCGACCAGGAGTTGTAAATAGTTTCTGTACCCACCATCCTCTCTGTATGGGCTTTCCTGTGTCACTGGTGCAGGGGTAGATCAACAGCAGTTACTATAAACTGTTCCCGCACCAAGGTCAGAGTGTGAGACTTGTGAATATGCTGGAAAAGACCCAAATAGCCAGTGCAATCAGTGAGGAAATGTTTCTCTCAAAATAAAACCTGCTTTTCCCTAATTGATTTCTCTCCTACTTTTACACCCTATTCAGTGTTACTGCTACTGTGAATATGTCAATGTATAATAAACCTCTTCTGTTCCATTACCACTTGGGAGTCCTACTTTCTGCAATGCTGTACAAATGATCCTCAACCAAATCTGAGCTGGTTTTGCAGCAAATTACACTGAAAGGGCATTGGATCAGAATTCCACCAACTGTAAAACACTACAGCAGCAGCAAACAGTTGACAAAAAAACAACCCGCAGTATTTTGCTTACATCAGGAAGACAGCTTCAGAAAACACTGCCATGTATTCCACAAAACACCCCTCAGTCAAGAATTACTGGAAGAGTTTGATTTTTTTTCAGAGAGGTATGTTAGAAGGGGATCTCATTTCCAACAACCTTGTGCTCTTGAAAGACTGTGAGAGAAAGCAATGTTCACTGTAACACAGTAATGGCTGTTTTCCATGACACAATGGAAACTTTATTATTGGTTCTTGCCAGCACAAGCCTTTTGACAGTGAAAACTGTGTATCTGTAATAATAACGCATTGAAAAAAGCAACAGAATTTTGAAATGCTCTACTGGAAAAAGATATATCTTTGGGAACATAATGCAAGTATCTGGGAACTTCTGTGTTTATTGAGCAACACTCACTGAAATACCATCCACAGCATGAGTGATCTGAGAGTCTGTGTATAAGGAAAGACTGCTGAGAATAGAGCTGAGTATGTTAAAGGAATTGCACATCTGGATCCTGGTCCCAAATCCACGTATCTGAAAACTATGAATGATCTTATGTGCAAAAAGAAACTGCTGAAAGCTCTTCCTTAGTCAGATGTACAACAGTTCTCTGCCTTTCTAGGACTCTTCATGATTTTCTACTATGTTATTTGTTGGTGATATGAAACATTTTCCCTGGTAACCGTATAGGAATACACACACTCATCAGATCTATAAGAGACCACTCAAAATTGATCACAGACATGAAATACAAGTCTGAGTCTGTAATTCAGGAAGTGTAACTCCATCTACACATTAATATTTTTTTTTTTGCGATATCTTTTGCCATCAGAGGTAGTATTTTCCCAGACCTGAAGGTGGAACTCTTGTTCCTTTGAAGATCTTTACATGAGTGACATAGCATTTTGTATTGTCATTTTTTCCTTGAGGAAATTTGGACTTCTCTGAAGTCACTGCTGGTTTGTCTGGAAGATGACATGCAATGGTAGCAGAACTGAGCAGTCAGGTATGAACGTTGTGTTCACAATGAAATGTGCCAGGAGCTCTTCAGATGTCACCTGTTAGAACTCACCAAAAAAAAAAAAAACAAACTTTCTCTTTGGGAATATCCTTGGTATCCTACTCCTTCTTCTGGGGCTACATAAGTAGATATCTCGGTCTTCTTCGGGAGTCATGAAGTTTGAGGAAAGGAAAGCCCAAGTGTAACCTTGTGGTTGTACCACCTCTGTAACAGACCACACAGAACTCCTGCCAATGCATATTGCATCAAAATTGCAGCTGTGTATGCTTGAGCTACAGTACATATTTGAAAAAAATCTCATTTTTTTCCTGACGCTTTTGTATTGTTTCCAAAACAGATTCACGGGACAATTTAATCTTATAGACAATTAAGATATGCCATATTTCTAATCTCATTTTCTTTAGTTTTCCTTTCATAATATTATCATTTTCTGAAAGCCAACACTGCTTCTACTCCTCAAACATCTCTAACCCAGACAAGCACTAGCACACTTATGACAAAGGTACCTCTTTGCCTGCATTGGATTGTGCTTTTAAAATATCTTACATTAATGCACATTTTCCACGCCTTTCATAACTTGATTATGGACTATTTCCAATATTTTAACATCCATTTGAACTGCAAATGCCCAAACCAAATGCTTTATTTCCACAATGGTTTGATCAGTTCTATAAACAGGGGTAATATCCATTCCAGTTGTATTTGATGCTCCTCTGCTTTTGTTCCAGAGTATTAGTTAGCAAAAGCTTTGTTCTGGGACCTCATGTTCAGCTGCTTATGTACCATCATGTCCAGGTCCTCTTTAGCACTGTCTCATGCCAGTCATTCTCCCTCAGATTCCAGGTGTGGCTTGGAGGCTTTATCTTGAATGTACAACCTCCAATTTTACTGTCTTCAGAGTATTTGTACAAGTGAGAAGGTCTTACAAAGCAGTGCAATGGAGCTTACCTAAGTGACCTGCCCTTATCTTTATTTACAACAGCAAAGCAGTGATTTGGTACTTTTGTCTAGGTCATTTCTAATAGTGCTAGGCCAAGAATAACACCACCCAAAAAAACCAACCTTAAGACAAATCTTCACTTACAATTACTTCCCTTGAGAACTGTCAGCTGAGTCACTTACTATGAACTATGCAGAATTTGTATCCCATGTTGTATTTATGAGAATAGCATACTGTTCTACCTCAAATGGAAGCTGTTGCATCAACACTGTTACCTTTATCAACCAAACGTAAATTCAAATGCATTTTATCAAATCTTTTTCATAAAAGTGTGTTGACTGGCATTTAGTTATTGTCATTTAATGGCTGTATCCCAAGTCAGCATTTCCATGGTTCTGCCCCATATCCGTGTCAAACTGGCTACACTAGCCTAGCTTGTGTCAACCTCTTTAGCATGTGTCAACCTCTTTACCCTTTTTTAAATATATGTTCAGTGTAAGCTTTTTTTTAGTACCTTGGCATTCCCCAGCACTCCAGTCATTCCAGCAGCTGTATTGTGAGCAATGGAACTAATGAAGACACTGGATCCTGTGTGTTTGGATCCTTTAGCTCCTAAATAACCTCAGTTACAATAACTACAATTTATTCTCCGTTTGCCATATGAAAATCCCATCCATCAGTCTGGAACAATGTAGATGCAAAGTGTATGGCTAATATATATAAACTGAGTAGCTGATTGCTGCTAATGCAAATGTGTAAAAGCTGAGTTTTTTGCTTGCTGTTCCCTTGCTGAGGAAACAAATTCAGGTTTAATTCCTCAGTGACCTATCAATTTCTGTGAAACTTACAGGACTATAATGACTTTCTCCAAATTATATTGAACTGGCCAAAAGGGCATGGAGTGACACACAGGTGAACAGATATCGTACATGTTGTTCAGAACATCAAAATCAACTTAAATCCACTTTTGCTACTTTGGATCTTAAGTCTGTTCTATTAATGCTGTTGAGTTCAGTTAAAAAATGTTTTAATAGCGGTGTAACATAGTTGCTCCACAGATACTGCCCAGTAGCCAGATAGTTTTTCACTTCTATTCAGCTGTGATAAAACGATCCGAAGTGATACAGGGAGGCCCTTGGAGGTTTTTTTTCTACCTGCCCTGCAGCTGCTGGGAGCGGGTGCTCTGCCAGGCAGGGGCTGTGCTGCTGGGGGAAGGATCCAGCGATCAAGTGTCAAACACAAACAGTTACACTTATTTTCAAAATACAGGTCATTAGTATTTCTTAGATACTTATTTTCTGAGTGCTGTTAGAAAGAGTGAAGGTTAGTGAGGGGACGAAGGAGCCTCACCGGCACGGCCTGATTGGCATTTGCCCCCTGCAAATCGATGCTCTGTATCCCCAGGGTCCCACCTGGCAATTTGGTATTACCCAAACTTATTGTCAAGACAAGCAAAAATGTTTGTAGTGGGGAATTTAAGACAGGTTTTTAATACGAGCCTTTGCCTCTCTTTTAGAAGAAATACAACTTTTCCGTCCCGATGAGCTCTTACCCCGGACGACCGGTACTGCCTCCCCGGCCAGGGTAGCTTCTCCTCCTCCTCCTCCTCCGCCCCGGCCCTTTCCCGCCCCACACCGAGAATGACGGAGGGAAATAAACACAGGGAAAATGGCCCCGGGGCGCGGCGAAGGGGTGGGGGTGTGCGTGTTTGTGGTGGGGCGGGCGGGGGCTGGGCCGCTTCCCACCGAGGGGGAAGCTTTGCGCGCCGGCTCCCGCCCAGCGTCCCGGGGCCGCCTCGCTTCTCGTTTCGGCCACAGCCGCCACATGGTGAGGGGCCGGGGGGCGGCTGGGAGCCCGCACACGGGCGGGGGCGGCGGAGGGCGGGGGGGGGCAGCGGCTGCCCCGGCGCCGCGCTGGCAGGGCGGGCAGCGGGGCCGCGGCGGCTGCCGGGCCGCCACCGACGGCGGCCCCGCGGGTTTCGCTTTCGCTTCCCGCGCCGGGGCCTGGCGGGACCCCGGGGCTTACCTCCCGCCGACGCGGCCGGCCGGCCGACAGCGGCCCGCAGCGCGGTGCGGGGCCGGGGAGCGGAGCGCCGGGTTCCTTCCTGCGACCTCCGGCTCCTGCCCCTCAGCGAGGGCCGCGGCGGGCAGCGGGGCCGCCGCCCGCTCACCTCGGCCTTGCGGGCCGCGGCCGTAGGCCGGGCCTTGCTGCCGCTGGCAGGCCCGCGCCCCCCGCCCGCCCCCGTCCCCGGGCGCTGCGGGCGGGCTGGCGGGGCTGGCCCCGCTCCCTCGGCTCGGCCCTGCGCGGGTGAGGGCGGTTTCCCTCCCCAGCAGCCGCCGGGTGCCCGAGGCCGAACAGCGCGACGGAGGGGCTGGGGGTGTCCCGGCCGGGCCCGGAGGTCAGCCCGCGGGGAGGCACAGGCCGGCGTGCCGGCGGAGAGCCGAACCGAGCCGGAGCTTGCCACACCGGCTTGAATTGTTACTCTCTTAGTGTTTTTTTTTTTTTTTTTTTTTTTTTTTTTGTTAAGAGTGTAAAAGCACAACGTGACGAATTGCTTATCCCGGCATTCCCCAAGCTTTTAGAAGCGTAAATTGGGAAAAATAAACTGGTATAAGTCCACTTAAAACCTCGATGTAAGACTTAAAAACTGTTCGTTACTCTTACGCTTGTACCCTCTGCATGCAGCCCTTGCGTGTCAGGGGCGAGGTGCGGGAAGGGTAGGTCACCGTCACCTGTTGGCTGCTGGGGTGAGATCAGAGGCATAGTTCAGTAATGCAGAAAAATCGGCGTTAGGGCTCTCATTGCAGGTTGAACTGTGTTGCGGCCACCTATTGCAGGTGTCCGTCAACTACAGACTTGCTCCTCCGGTTCAGCTTTGTTCAAAAATTGCTGATGTGTTAGTCATTTAGGTATTTTTTGCCCTTCTGTAGCTGGCTTAAACGTGTAAAACCAATACAAAATGCCTGTCATCTGCTCAGATTTCTCAAAATGCAGTCATGTGCCCTTGCCTTGTCTGGATCATGTTTGTCTCGCCGGGTGATCCACAAGTGCACAGATCTGCTAGGAGCCACAGCCTGTTACGTACAGCTGCTAATCTCATGGTTCTGTGAGAGATCCCGCATGCGCGGTGCTTTATACCGCAGAGTAGTTTCATGCCACACTGCAAACACACTGGTGCTGGTGACCGTGCCTTATTTCAGCCTAACAAAGCTATTTTCCTATGGTTCCTTTTACAGCCAAAGGAGAAAGATGTCATTTAGACCCAAAGAGCAATTTGGCTGTAGCCCACTGCAGAAGCATGTTCCTTACTAACTACAGACCTCAGCCAAGTGAGCGGTAGTTAATACTCTGTCACTGCAATTTTGGGGCCAGTGCTACTCTAGAAGAAGTGTTTCAGGTGACCTTAGTGAGAAAGCTGTTGTAAGTCTCTGTATTTTAGCATGTGTATTCCAGTTTATTTGATTTATGGTGAGAAAAGGAAAAACCTTTTTGGCCTTACAACCCTTTAAAACAAGGCATCTGTGCTGGAAGTACTTTTTTTTAGTGGCAGGGGTTGTCTAAAGCGTGATAAGTGAAATAAAATCAAATACACGTGTTACATTGCATTTCCCTGGGCAAGCAGAACTCTTCAGGTTTATTCTGTATTTTGCTTACCATTTTTGAATGGAGAACACTGGGCAGTTTAACAGAAATTCACGAGCATTACATTTGATATGTATTGGCAGCATTTACTGAAATTAACAAGTTTGTACTTAGAATTTTACTTCTGATTGAGCGCAACTATGGGACTATGTGCTTTCTGTGTACCAGCACATAGTAAGTGGAGATTTTGTGTTGGTGTCAGAACTAAATTCACACTTTCACTATTGGGAATTGGATGCCTTAAGATTCTTTTCCCCCTTAGAATTATTTGATTTAAGCAGTGAAATAAGATTGCGTATGCTGGTTGGACCTTCAAAACCTGAAAGAAGAAGCGATCTGGTTTTGAAAAAATTTGTTTGCTTAACATAGCTGTTTAATTGGTAAAGCAAAGATCAAACCAGTGGACCTCCTCAGGTTCTTTTGCTCTGTTGCTTACTAACAAGAACGTGTGGACTAATCCTTTATGGAAGATACACTTTAATAATTTCAAGGACGTAAGCTGAACAAACTGGATAAGGAATTTTACCCTGTCTTGGGTAGTAAGAATTGTAGATGATTTTCATATTAAGTGCAGATATCAAATTAATGGTATTCCTTTATGCTAATTTAACTTCACAATTACAGTTTCAGTTTGGGGCTGGTCTCCAGAAAACATAAATATTAAGAAGGGAGATATGTATATAATTTTTGCTACCACCTAATACTTTGCTAATGCTGCTACAGTATGCTCTGGATATGTCTTCTTTTTTATTAACTTAGTTGACTGTAAATTATTCTACATCTGGCTCCTGATCACTTCTGGATAAGTGTTATTTCTGTCACTGAAATATAATTGAATTTTGGTACATGAATTTTGGATGTTAAATTGAAAGTATTTTACTTAGAAGATAACCTCTAACAGGCCTGTAGCATCAACGTTTGAAAAGACAAGATTCTGTAAGTTCTGTATTTATCAAAATATCTTGCACAGTGAATATAATAAAGGACAGTTAATTACAAATGGTTTTATTTAACTTTTTAAATTACTGATTTAATGATACAGTATTCTCTCGGGCTTTTTTGCTCAAACTTGAATTTATTTTAGAGAATCGGAGCCATGCATTCCAGTCTCAGAGAATTTAAGATTTTGTTGTGCGTGGAACTTGATAAGTGCCTGCAGGAAGGACTGTCCAAGCCCCTGTTCAAGTGACAGTCCTGTACAGAAATGGTCAGGAAGGGAAGGGGATCTGTCATGCAACTGTGTGGTGTCTGAATGGTAATCTCTGAGAAAGGGCTCAGAAATCCTGCAGGTACATGGGGACTGCAATTCAGATCCCAGGATAGAGACGAAATTATCTTCTTAAAAAGCTAAGCAGTGTTTTTTACTTAACTGAGGAGAGTGGTTGATAGGCTGGACAGGGCTGCTACTTGGCGGGATCTTGGCGGGATGGAGACAGGGACTGACAGGAACCTCATATATTCCAGCAAAGGCAAAAAGAAAGCCCTGCATCTAGGATGGAATAGCCTGATGACTAGAACAGGCTGTGGGAAGACTTGACGGGTGCAGAAAAGGACCTGTGTGTTGTGGCAGAGCACATGCTGAATAAGAGTCTGAAGGACAACTGCATCATGGGCTGAGCTAGTAAATGTGGCTGAAGGACAGTGGGTTGAGGGAGTGACTCTTCCCCTCTATTTGGCTCTTGCGAGACTAGCAAGGCGGTTAGGGAGCTGGAGCACATGATATTCGAGGAGAAACAGGTGGATTTGTTCAGCCTTAAAGTGAAGGAAGGGGAGATCTTACTGCTGTGGGTGGGAAGCTGTAGAGCCAGGCTCCTCTTGGAGGTGCATGGCAGCGGGACAAGAGGCAATGGACACAAGCTGATTTAGCTACAGTGAAGGTATTTTTGATTTTGGTTTGTTTGTTTGTTTTTAACCTGGAGAATGGTCAAACCCTGAAGGAGGAGTCTAGTGAGTGTGTGGAGTGTCCATCCGTGGAGGTGTTACAACTTGACTGGACAAGGGCCTGTGCAACCATATCTAATTCAGTTTGTACTGGATGGCGTATGAAAATCCCTCGCAATCTAAACCGTCCTGTTGTTCTGTGATTACTCAGAAAAACAGGCTTTACAGCTTTAGAAATTAATTGTTAAAGTTAAGCTTAGGAAAACACAAACCCAATAAAGTATGCAAGAAACCTTGTATTTCCTTGAAATTGCATCTGGAACGAACACAAGGTCATCACAAAAGCTTGTAATGTTAATTTTATTTACCATATTATATGAATTTTTAAAAAAGTAAGACCTTACATAGTTTTTTTGTTGTTGGTAATTTATGGGTTGGAATTTTTGTTACAAAAGCTACTATACTGTTTGAGAGAACATGTAGCAAGAGACCTGATGAGAATGTAAGGAGGTTTTGTATTTCTATCTTAGTTTCTCACACCTACTGTTCAGTGAATTTTAGGCAGTAGTGTCTTAAGGAGATTTGTAGACACTGTTGTGAGAGGTGGTTTACTGTCTGGGAATCCTTAAGGAGCAAAAAATGACTATCCAGAACCCTGCATGCAGCCAAATCTTTGAATTTAAAACTGTTGCTTATTCAGATAACCTACTCAAGACATATGGCCGCTGGTTACATTAACTCTACTTTCACAGTGGTCCAAGTTTATAAGTCATCTACGCTGTCAGTTTTGACTCTTATCAATTTCTTGTTGTTGTTAAAGGTTAAGGACAAAATTATGATGGATTTAGCTTAGTCCCTTCTGTATTTGTAGTAAGACAGAATGTGCTGTGGGTTTCTGTGAGTTCACGTTGTGTGATAGGTTTGAAGAATTTGTGTCATCGCTTCTTCAAGATTATTCGGTATTAAAAGCATAACATGGCTACTAAATATCTTTAAGGAACCAATTTTTAATTAATTCTAGCTCATAAACTCGTGGATTAGCATATAAGCCATCAGGAAATTAAATGTGTATTTGAAGAGGAGGCACTGCAGTTTAAAGTATGATGATTTTTATCTTTTGCTCACTGCAAAAAAAAAAATCTGTTCTAGGCTCAAAATGGAGTTCTGTTGTGAGATACAAGTAGCTCTTTCAAACGTATTGGGGACTGTAGTGACCAAGGTACAGTAGAAGAACCAACGTACTTGATATCATCTTGCATTTAAGCTACTGTTGTTAGAATGGTGGAAAAAGTAAATTGACACAAGAGGATTAAAGTTCTTTTCACATCCTGAAAAATGTGAGGCCACCCACTGCATGTTTATTTGAAGATTTAGACAAAGAACTATTAACATTAAATGCCTTGGGTTAGAAGGGGATTTGTAAGACTACTTGATAGTACGTCTCTATAATTTGAAGTGGGGATGATTTAGCAGTGACTGCAAAGTAGCAATGACTGCAAAGTTGGTTGGTGAAATAATTTCCTTCTGAGGTTTTGAAAAAGAAAAAGGTGTATCAGTGAAACTTTAAAGATTGACTTCCCTTAGCTTGGTCTATTCTCTGTAAATATTCAGTTTTCCACAGTTTTCAGTTTCTTTGTGGGGTGGGATGGATAAAGGAGGAGAGTCTTCTGTTAGCGTTCTGTTATTCAGAAAAACACAACGTTGTTTTCTTTGAAGCTGTGTTGGAAATAGTGAGTAATCTGGAACTATTTCCCTCTAGAAACTCAGCTTCTCTTTGCCAGAAGTGCTTTCAGCTTTCGCACTGGCCTGATGGAAGATGCTTACCACTTGGCTCTTTTGAAGGTGAGGGAGATCTGTACGTCTCCTCCCTGCAGCCTACAGGTAAGGGCTGCGACTGAGCTTTGAGCGGTTCAGTTGAAGACCTCATGCCATCAGCTGGCGTGTGTCTTCAGGTTCTCTCTGCCAGCAGGAATTGCAGGGCTCAGAAAAACCTCAACACTCTCCCTTTGCTCTTTCACACCATAGTTAGATGTGAGAAAATTAATGTCTAATTTCACTGTTAATAATATGTTTGGCTGTGTGAAAAATAGGAAGATTTTTTTAACTTGCTACATTCTGCTGTGCCTCATCTGTACCAGGAGGATTGTGCGACTTTAATTATTTTAAATTAGTTTGGTTACTGGAAGAGGAATATCAGGGAAAGCCTTCTTATGCAGTTGCTGTCATAGTATAGGTACTTTCATATAACCTCGTTGGCACATGTCTTTTTACTGACACTTGTGAGAAACCTTTCTCATATATGTCTGCAGTTCAACTTCTTGTTTTTGTTAGGAGTATACAGAAAGAAAATCTCATTTAAGTAACCTCTGTTTATACAGTATTAAAACTACAAAATTATCTCACAATAATTTTTTCTTTCCCCTTGTGTACATTCAGCATAATGGCATTCTTTTATATTACTCATATGCTCTGTAGATAAATGCTATTATATGCATGTCTACGTATCTTTCATTTAGGGAAGTGAAACTCCAAAGTTATGTTTTATGCATATGCAGGGAACAGAATTCAGGCTGCTTATATGCTTACCAGTCCTGCAGATATTTCAGCAACATGTTTAAACCCCTTGTTAGATGATGCCTTAGTCATTTTCAGTAGGGGACAACTGTGGTTTGGTGTGCGGATCTTCAGGATCCTTTTAATCTTTCTAGGAAATGGACTTCCAAAATTAATTTTATTTTGGTGTCTTTTCAGGGCATGTTTTATTATTTTTAAGATGATTCAGAATGTAAATTGGCAAAACTTGAACTGTGATCAAGCAAAGCATTTAATTGGAAGGTTTTTTTCAAAGGCTTCCATCTCTGTGCTGCAAAGCATGTTTGCATCTGCCTTGATTATTTAGCTATTTTTTTGTTAGTGTTAAGTTTTATTTATGAAAAATTAAGCACAAAGCCTGCAAATAAATGGAAATAATACATTTAAATACAAATACAGTATCCAGATTTTAGGTAATTGATACTGCTCAAATGTGGGTTTAGAATAGATGTGAGTATTGGAAAGACTGATTTACCTTATTTTGCTTTCTTTTAAAAAATGATTCTATATTTGTACATTTTGTAAGCCTGTAATTCTTTGATTTTTAGGGGTTTCCACACCTTGGTGAAGGTATACTGGACAAGTGTTGACTTGAAAGCTGCTTTTAGGATGTCTGAAGATGATGAAAAAGTTAAACTCCGTCGAATTGAACCTGCCATTCAGAAATTCATTAAAGTGGCCATTCCAACAGATTTGGAAAGGTTAAGAAAACACCAAATAAATATTGAGAAGGTTGGTGCTCACTTTTTACTAATGCAGTTCTTTTTACAGTAGAGAAGCAGTCACACTGGAAGATGATATAGAGATTTCGTTAAAAAGTTGATTATGAAATGCTTTAATTCAGATTTGGCTAAAAATGACACTTCTGTGTTGTCTGGCAATTCAGTGTATATAAAGGCCTTTACATTAGTAGTTACTAGTCAATCTACAGAGTGAGAAACATAACTGTTTTGTGTTAAAAAATTGTTGTAAGGAAAGCAACCTAATATTCTTACTCTATTTTTAAGTCACAGTGGTTTGCTGCCAACTATTCTGAGTTACAGTTTATACCTAGCTTTTTCTCACTATATTTTTTTAACCGAATTGAGAGAAATAGAGAGATTGAATTATTTAAGTAAACAGGAAAAGAATTGTATCAAAAATGTAGCATGTGTATATGCTTCTTGTTGACATTAGCTCGCACTTGACGGTGAAACTGAATTTGCTTCCAAGAAGTTAAATTCCTGCATAAACGGTGCCAATGCCGGTACTGGTAAAATAAAGATACCCAGGACAGTTGTCTTGCATGAGCTGGCCTATGTCCATATTATTAAATTGTCATATTCTGCAAAACAGGGTGCCAACATCCACTTTGCTGGTGGGGAGTAGCCTCTGTTCTGTGTTTGTAACTCCTTAGCCATTCTCAGGAACTCCTTACCTGAGAGAGCTGTTTGGCATGGCCAGGGACAGTTCTGACAGTTTAACAGCACAGATGACCAGATTTCAGACTTGAAACGTTCTCAGTCTCTGTTTGTTAGTACAGATATAGCCTGTGGAAGCAGATAAATTAGTTTGTTGAGGAAGGTGGTAAGAGATTTACTAAAACAGGTGACACCAATAAAAAGAGGAAGAGAGTGACTCAGAAACACACTTATAGTATCAGCATTGCAATGGAAGTTTTGAAACGACCATACAAGACATATTTGTTTAAACAAGATTGTATTTACCACCACAGAAGAATCAGTGACAGTGAGTGTCTAGTTCTGCACAGTTCTGCATGTTTCTGAAAAATCATACGTTGTATTAATTTGACTAGGCTTATTCACAAGCTATAAAATCAAGTGTATATATAAATTTGGTTGATACACCTTTTTCATTTTTTAATACCTTGGGAAGGAATGAAGACATTAGAAGAAAATAGGTGAATGTGACTTTGATTTCCTAAAAGGTATGGTCTGAAGGGTGCGTATAATGTATTGTTGAAACCGTTCTGTATTTTGCTGCTGTCATTTCTCCACCATTTTTTACCATAACTTTGCTGTAACTTTACCAAGTGGATAACCTTTTAGATGAAATTTTCCATGCCAGGTTTCTGTCTTGACTAGTTTGAGGATGGGGAATGAGGGAAAATAAAACCATGTATTTGTTTCTGAGAACATAGACAGGAAATAACATGTTGTTCGAGTGATAGTAATTTCATTTAATAAGAAATACTTAGTTTAAGTGGTAGTAAGTGATTGATGTCTTAGTGATAATTTCTTTTCAAAGCAGTGACACGTGTTGGACCACTTGAAATATTTTTGTGGAGTGGTTCTTGTCTGGACTATACATTTTGCTGTGCCTCTAAAAATCTGCCCTTTTTCATCCAAGAGGTACGATTCTGAAAAGTGGTTTGCAGGTACTCACTTGAGTATCAGCTACTGGTTGAACTTTACCAGCTGAAGATTGCTAAAGATTTACCCAATGTTAAGGCATGCTCCTTTGCTTAGAAATTAGCAGAACTAATTCCTGGAGTTGCTAATTTGATTGGTCCTGAATCTGAGAATGAAAACAGGGAGATGATTTTTCTGTGTTCCTACTGTCTCATCCTCTTACTTTCCCTGACTTGTGTGCTAGAGGAAACTCTTACTGGCTCATGTAAATAGAGGGTAACGATTTGGGTGGGGGGAGCTTATGAAGTACCACCTCAGGTGGGAGGTGAAAGTGCAGAAATGGTGGCTGATCATGGAATGAGAGAAAAACTGGGATAAAGGAAGACCTGGGGCTTGTGAGACTAATGATGGGAGAATCATTTGACTCTTTCCTGGTGAGGGTGTAATAAGGATATGATCTGCTGTATTCACAAACTGAAAAGTATATTAGTATAATATTTGCCTGAAGCAATAACTTCTGAATGAGGTGACTTATTTTTTCAGTTACAGCATGTTGTTTACTCTTTGTTTTTCAATGTTTGTATAATTCATTACATTACCTAGATGCCGGTTGATTCAGCACTTTTTTGTCTTGGAGTTGACCAGTTTGCAGCAGTCCTGTTCTGTAGTGGCCAGGAGCATCTTTCTGTTCAGCTTCTCCCACAAAGAACAGTTAATCGAGTTACTTTGCATAGTAACCAGAGTACAGAGGAGTCAGTATAGCTTGCTCTTGGGTGAGATGATGGGGGAGGAAGGAGACTTGACGGTAAAGTTGCCCTGGAGAAGTGTACAGCCTCCAGGGATCAGTGTGTATGTCTCAGTGTGCATGGCCCCTACCTAGCAGTGGCCATAGAGATAAAGGCAACTAGTGAAGAATAATGGAATAGGACAGGATTCAGAGGTGCCTAGAGGAGAGGTTGTATTGTATTAACATTTTCTTCATGCAAGCTATTTCATTCAAATAGAGACAGTCTTGGTAGCTAGGTTGTACTCTTCTTTCTCTAACCAGAAGTTGCACAACTGCTCATGGAAGCAACGTGCATTAGCTGTAATCCACCAAGAGGGATTTCTTGGTTGCAGAGAGGTCGTTTTTGTCCCTAGTTGGCTTATGTTAAAATTGTGTTAAAAATTGTATCCTCAGGGCAGCACTTCAATTAACACCAACAGCATCCATGAATGTGGAGCAGTGAGGTGCACCATTCTTCAGTCTTGAGGAAGGCATCCAGAAATGAAGGGATGCAGTTAATAAATACCCACAAAAGGGTGACATAAAAGCTACAGCCTTGCCTGAGAGGAACAAGCAGATGGTCACTGGAAAAACGTAGTCTGGGAGGGAGGAGCTGTCCCGCCAGTACAGAATGGGAAGTGATTAGCAGGGCACATTAGTGGTATACAAATGGTTTTGTTGCACTTTGAAGGTAAAGGTAAGCTTTTGATGTGTGTCAGGTAGTAATTAGAGAGGATGGAGGGGATGAGTGTAAGTATTACACTGTTTGATTTTTTTTTTTTTTTTTTGGAAGAGTATTACTTTGTACAGCTAAATAGATACTTTGCTAAGTATTGCCCATATATGTAAAATCTCCCTCATTTAGGATATATAAACACAGTACCAAGAAGCTTCAAAAGGCATTGGGTGCTGCAGTGGGAAACAGAGGCATGATCAGTTATTACCCTGTGTAGTACTTACCAGTGTGAGAGATGATCTTGGGAATTGCTGCGTTTTGCAGAACCTGTTCAGTGAGGAGGGGGAGCCAGTTACTGGTTGATCCTGCTGAAAATCTATTACGTATTTAGACAAAGAATAATTATGTTGTATCTGGCCAGGTAGTGTTACCATGGTGTCAGGGGAGGGGTGAAATACATTCCACTTAATTCAGCCATGTGTTGGTCAACTGGCCCAGCAAATCATTTGCGTCAAGCATTCCTGTTTTGCAAACAGGGGGGGAGATTGTTGCAAGTACAATTTGCTGTGTCTAGAGGAAAATGCAGAAAATATTAACACTTTGGATAAAATGAGTCTTTAGGTTAATTCTATTCTAGCACTTTGTTCAAAGTATTGTCAGAGAAACTCATGCTTAGCCAGAGTTTAATTATAGGTAATGCAGAGTGCAGTGTTTCTATAATGACATGCAGTGACTATGTTGAAACACCAAGATGTTTTTTTGAGCAGTTGAATTTTATATTTTGAATGTCAAAATCTAATGCAATTTAAAAGTACCTGTTTTGGAGATTTCTTGAGATTTTCAGGTTGTTGATGGTATCAGTGTGAATGATCCGTTCAGTCGACAGAATAAATTTTGCATATCAGAAAAATCCTTAAATAATTGTAAACATAGTTCTTAAAGTGTTAACTGCACTTCCTCTAAAACAATACTTTTATGAAAGCAAGAAGTTGTAACAACACTTAGTATAGATTTGTCTCTCTGATTTCAGAATACTGTTAAAAATTTCTGTACCCCTACACAGTAGAAATCCTAGCAAATTTGATAATTGAATTAGTAAGTAATAGAGTTATTAGAAACAAGTAACTATGGATAAAACCTTTAAATAAGCAATTGGTAACTATACCGGAAGGCATTCAGCAGTACTGAAGACTTCAGAACTTCTGTGTATTGACAAAAAATATAAGACACAAACATTTATGAGAAGTAGTACATCTGACTATAAAAATAGTTGTTAAATGCCAGATTCCTTAAAAAGTCCACACTCAGTGTAATGTTCCTAAAATTTGAAAGAGTTTTGTTTGTTGTTTTTTTTGTTTTTTTTTTTTTTTCCAAATACTATTCTGGCTGTAAGAACTACAAATATTCCAAAGTTTGCTCTATTGATAGATTTATGAGAAGGTGAGAATAAAAATATGACAAGTTGGAATTTGAAATCTGTCACTTGATTGTTTTAGATCATCAGAACACAAGCAGTAGTTTGGTTGAAATACTTCCCATGATAATTTGCATTTTACATCTTTTACATGCATTTTAGCCATAATGAATGTGTTACAGTACTTTTATGAGCTGTCAGCATCAGCAGCTTAAATGGTTTTCTCTGAAATACTTTTTGTAAAATTAACTTTCAGCCATGTAAACTAAACATCCCTAGAGGTGAAAGAATAATTTTGTAAAATCTGATCCTGTTTATTTTACAGGCTACTTTTAAGCAAAAATCACTAATTATGTCAAATTGCTTAGAGCAGCAACATTATTTACTTATGATGAAGCCAATATCTCTAACCTCATTTCATGAATATTGATTTAAACCTTAGGTTCCAGAGATAGTCCAAACAATTAATCTACTAAATCACTGTTTGAAGAAACTATAAAATCAATATATAATGAAATTTGACCTTGAGTACACCTTTTCAGAGGAAGTGGCTACCATAAATCCGTCATCATTGCTTCTCAACTATTTGAGTCCAACTTTCCATATGACAGTTTCAGAAGACTTAAAAATACACCCTTAAGAAATCAATTCTCTATACTTTTTTTTTTTCTTTCCATGTTTTCCCCAAAGAGTTCTTGTTTTCTAAAGCACATTTTGTGGATTGAATGGCCTTTTACTCCAAAAGAGGGAAAAAAATGCATGCTTATCCAAAAGAGTTACAACTTTCTGTTAGACGAAAGCAATGGTCATGGTACTGTAGGAAGGTGGAGATTTTGTCATGCTTCCCTAAACTTTGTTGGTGATATGCAACAATTTTAAAAAAAAAAAAGTGCTGTAAGACATGGCATCCTTTTTGCTGTTGCTTTCAGCTTTAATTTAGTTTCTGGTGACTGTGGCAAAATTAAAGGATGTTGTGCAAAACACTTTTTACCTTCGGCTGGGGACCATTGTTGTGGTGGGAAGATACATAAAGGCGATGTGAAATGAGAAACTAAGATATCCAAGTCTTACTGCAGACTTCGTCAGAGTGTATACATTTGTATAAAACGTTTATTGTAGAGCTTTTAGAAATGTTGGTGAGCACTACCTGCTACAAAAATTAATGGAAAATTATTGTGAAAAGCTTTGAGTTCTCTCCCTGTCCACTGGAGACCTTCAAGGAGAAATGGAAGGGATCCAAAGCATAAGCTTGAAGGATTCTTTCTGAAGAGAGCTCTCGAAAGAGAATAGGATAAAGACGAAAAGAAATTGAGTGTCTAAGAGTAACCTTATGCTTTGTCTTTCTGATGCGGAATACAAGCTATTTGGCGATCGCACAATTATGATTAAATGTCACGGATTCATGGAACTACAGAGCAGTTTGGGTTGGAAGGGACCTGTAAAGACCATCTAGTCCACTCCCCCTGCCCCGGGCAGGGCCCCCTTCCCCCAGCCCAGGGTGCTCCCAGATCCGTCCAACCTGGCCTTGAACCCTTCCAGGGAGGGGGCAGCCACAGCTGCTCTGGGCACCCTGGGCCAGGGCCTCACCCCCCGCACAGGAAAGAATTTTTTTCTTGTGTCCAATCTGAATTACTTTTGTTCCGTTTAAAAGCATTGCCCCTTGTCCTGTCACTGCAGGCCTTAGCAAAAACTCTATCTTTCTTCTAAGACCTCTGTATATAGTGAAAGGCTGCAGCTGGGTCTCCTTGGAGCCATTTCTTCTCCAGACTGAACAACCTCAACTGTCTCAGCCTGTCTTTGCAGGAGAGGTGTTCCAGCCCTCTGACTATTTTTGTGGCCCTCCTCTGGACCTGCTCTAATAGGTTAGGATTCCATAGGTGTTTTTACTTCATGGACCTCCCTTAGTTTTACATGTATTTGCTAATGATCAATAATGTCAATACCATCTGTTCTCAAGGTTTACTATCCTTGAGTCCCCAGGAGTGAACATTGCCCAGGGGTATGGCTTACTTTGTGTTGGATGACAAAGAGAAGTCAACAATGAGGAATCCTCTGAGCAGATGAACGTCATTGCTCTGGGTTTATTAAGTCACTGGATTCTTTGAGGTCATCAGTAGCATACTAAGAATTTTGAAGCAAAGTGTTGAAACTTGTAAATATATAAAGCAGATAAATGTACTTAGCATTTCTAGTAGAAATTACGAAGAGCAGTAAAGGTTTCCTGAGGAGTTCTTCTTGTTGTTAACTGAAAACCAGGATTTTTTATTATTTGGTATGGGGTTAATATATTACAGTCAGTTGAAACAGAAAAGGTAAGTTTTCCCCCAAACACCTTCTGTTCCACCCCAAGAAATTCCTGTTTCAGTACTCTTTCAGGGATGACTGAATTGGAAGATCTACTGTTGTTACAGACTTTTTTGTCCCATTTAATTTTAAAAAACAATAGCAGTAATTTTAATGGCATAATAATTTATGCAGAAGTTGCTAGTTTCCTAGAAAAATCACTTTAATCTGACTTAATTAAACACTAAACCTTTTCTCTTACATAACCCTACAAAATCCTAACATGAGAGAACGTTTTTCTGAAAATAAGAAGTGACTTCAGATTGCTCATTGTATTTTAGGAAGATGAGTAACTTGTGATCCTTATTGCTGTGGCCTCTGAAATGATTAAAAGAAATAAGGAAAGACATAGTCTGTAGATAGGTTTTTTTAATTGGTAACAAAGCTTATTAAGAAACTGAGGAATTAAACTTTACAAAAAAATACCTCACAAATCATGGTAAATATTTCATCTTAATTAATTAAAAAGAATGTTCTGATATTGTCTAGTATTGTAAATGCAGTTTTTGGTGTTTTCAGCACATATTTCAGGAATCGCAGCATCTACTTCTTTTGTTTTACTACTCTTTTTCATGATAACATCTCTGTATTTATGTCAAGTGCCAATAGCAGGGATTGATGTATTTTGATGATGACAAAGTACGTATGGGAAGATACGCAGTTCTTTTGCAACACTTGCTCTCTGCTAATGGCGTAATTACTCTGGTCTCTGTCCCTTGGGAAGTGCTGTGTGGATAGTTGCCCATCAAAGTTAGTGAAGCCTCATGCAGGTGCCAAATCTCCCCTGATGGTTCTCCTAACAGTGTTTGTAACTATGTGGAAATGGTAAGCGTAAATGTAGACATCAGTGTTGTGTAATGATTGCATTTTCTTTGTAAATAATATCAGATACCTTGTTGTCCTATATGACCAGTACTGCTTATCCCCTATTCCATTCCTTTTTCCTCCTGCCCTTCATTTTACTGACCACTGAGTGATTTATGCCACAGCAGTATGACAATGCTGCCATATCTCTTTGTTGTTAAAAACTGATGCTGAATCTGTGGTTAGGTGCAATTCAGTAAAACATGTTGTACAGAATTATTCACAAAATACATTGCCGTTTACCTCTAATTTTGCTGTGGAAATGCCTATGACTCATCTGCTTTACTGTCAATTTTGGAAAATTAAAGTGATTATTTACTAAAGGTTCTTTTTTTCTGCATAGCCAGTTGGTAAAAATAGCAATTATATGGAGTATTTTTCCTTTATTGTAGTATCAGAGATGCAGGCTCTGGGACAGATTGCACGAAGAGCACATTAACGCAGGACGAACAGTTCAGGTAAGGATATTAAAATGAATGTGATATTAATGGAATTAAATTACATACATAGGACTGGTTACCTCAGGGATGGATCTTTACAGAGATGTATATTTGTACATGGTATTGCTTTATTTCATTTAAGGTATGGATTTCCTAATCGTGTCCTTTGAGGCAAATAGTCAAAAGTGTTTCAGGATTCTTGAACCAACAAAAGTTTGGAGACTCTGGTCTCTTACAAACTGTCCTCTTACATTACTAAATTAGAAGACAGGGATTGCAATAAAGGGTACTGTTAATTTTAAAACATGGTTTCAGACCAAACACAGAACATCTGGACTACTAGTTTGGTGCGCAGGTCTCTTGTTAGATGCATAATATCATCAAAGGAGGAAATACCAGACTCATTTGTGAGCTTGGCATCATCTCAGTGACTTTGTGCATAGTCACCCATAAATTAGTACACAGGGAATCTCATGTTGGTTTCAAAATCAATGCGTGTCTTGATGAAAATGATGCAAAAGCTAATGCCAAACATCAGCCTTCACACTGCTGCATAGTACGCAGCCAAGGAAGGTTATCAGTACAGAAAAACACAGCGACCAGATCTGCACTGCAAAGTTTGCTGATGAAGATACAGCAGCTAGTGGTTATAACATGCTGTTCTGGCAAAATTCTGGGCTCAGATGTGTCTTTGCCATCAGGAGGGGCATCTTGTGTTGGTTTCATAGATGTTGTTCAGAGGAGGGACATGACAGTTGCTAGAACAACGCTTTTTTGACCTACGCTGCATCTAGATGAGCAGTCTTTGCCAGCAGGGGTAGCAGACTCCTAAACCACTGTGTTTCATAATGCTAATACTGTAAATTCCTGTGCTTGTTGCAATGCCTTACTGACTCCTGTGGGAAATGAGACCAGACTCAAAATGCAAAAAAAACTCAGAAGGAGGAACTTAATCTCGATTGAACAACAGTATTAGGCATTAGGCGGAGCTGGAGTTACGTATCTTTTTTGGGGAATGGAAGGTGCTAATGAGCTTTTTTAGTACAGATGATAAGAAGTTATACATGAAATCCACTTGATTTTCTGTTATTTGAAGGTTTGAGTGTTTATCTTGATTTTTCACCCAAGTATTTTTGAGATTTGAATATAAGTTTATTCTTAATATCTAAAGAGCCTTACAAAGGTAAAAGTCCTGTTAAAACAATGGCATTCTAACAGCTGTGGTGTAGTAAGCATGTGTTTGCTTATGTCTGTACTCTATTTTCACATCTAAGGGGTAGGAAAGACTTTTCTTGGAACTCTTTATTATCAGTATAATTTGTTTAGCAAGACAAAATTATCAATAATTAGTGAAAAAGTAATCATGTTGAAGATTATGTTTTTAAATACATTCAGTGCTTTAGTAATAAAACCTCATATTTGTCTCTAGAAACATTTATATTTGTCTTGAACCTAAAGCCTGCCATTTTCACTTTCAGCCAAAATAAATTTTCTTATATTTTATTTACTGCTTATTGCTTTTAGATCTGGATAGAAATTATGCATTATAGTAGTTCACATTCTGATATCTAGAGAGCAGAATAACTATCTGGGTCCATGCAAGAAGAATAGGCTAGCTCTTTGCTTTAATTAAATAGTTAGGAGTCTGGAGTACTTGATAATAAATTATATGACATGTAGAATGTGTTTGTTGTAAGCTGTTTAAATGTTTACCAATGGACTTGTGATCTGTTTGTTTGCGAAGAAATCAGATTCATTATTGTGATACCAAATGTTCTCTGCAGCGCACACTTCGCTCTCAAAATTAGATGTTGTAAAAATACATTAGGAATCCCTAAGTCAATATTGACCCAAGGCATCTGCCACAGGTTTTAGACAAATATATGCACAGCCACTCTACATTTAATCCATGTGCACATAATTAGCCATTTTTCTGAATTTTCAGTTTACCCAGAATAATTACTTCTGTTGTACTTTTGATGATGGTTAAAATTATAATGGAAGTATAGATGAGCGTAAATGTATACCTCTTCTTTCTGGTGATTGGATGCCACATTAAAAATTTCTAAAAAGGAAAGAGGAAAACGTGGATATCTTTGTGTAGGGCATGATGGCACCCTTTCAAAAATACTGAGAAAATAGCTCTTGTGTACCATGTGTTAGTTTTCACAAATGTGTTCTTGTAGATTTTCATTTTTAGGGCCAGTCTTTGGACTTCTTAAAATGTTAGGGCCTGAATAAATACGCAGCTTTGCAAGGCCTTGCCCACATATATACTGACTGTACCATACAATTAGTTAATTATTGCAAGATTTAAGCTAATTTAAATGAAATGACTATATTTTATTGTAACACCTAAGGACTGCCTTGATCATATTCATAGGGAGAGGAAGAAAAACGCTGCCATTACTAGAGAGGGTATAAGGCATTGAACAAAAAAAGGAAAAATACCGTGGCTGAATGATCTGGCTTTAGTACATATTCAGCCCACTAAAGAAGACTTTGTTCTGTGAAACGTACCTACGCAGATGTAGTATCTCCACTGTGTTGCTCTGATGTGGAAAGCTACTTGAAAAATGTTAATCTGTTTTTCTCTTTTTCACTTTTATGATTTCCATTTCAACTGAAAATGGTTTACAAGTAAAAGACGGGTTTTTAGATAGCTCTCTCTTTGCATAAACCTTCAAAGCTTAGTTGCATGGTTCATGTCTTCTGTACCATCTTTAAAATGATGCGGTCTTCAAATTAAGTATCTTTATGGAATACTACACAAAGGTACTGAGAAAGCATGAGAAGCAGGGTAGATGAGTTTATCGTGGCAGGAGATTGTTTATGGTATCAGTGGAGGGTCATGTAAAGTCAGTTCACTATTGCAGCCTGTGACCATCTGGAGGGTACATATATTCTTAAACTCCCAGTTTCTTTGACCTGTGCCAAGAAATTTGTAACATATATCCTTTATCACATTACTTTGGACAAAGTCCAGAGAAGGTAAGTGAAGGCAACATTACATTTGCACAGTTAAACTACTGCAATACATTCTTAAAAATCATATTTATGTTTGAGAGGGTTTAAAGTAGTGGGTTTGTTTGGAGGTGCTATTTACTTCTTAATTTAAAACAACCCGATGCAGAATGGAGGGAGAGTTGACAGTGATTAACGTGCAGAAGACAGGAGATGTCTGGGACTGATTTGCTGCACGCGACAGATCTCGTGCCATCCATGTACTATTTCAGCATAAGGAGTTTAAAGTGTAAACTATTGGCAAATGTATATGAAATTACATTTAGTGATAATAGAATCAAGAGGAAGCAAAAGAGGATGGTGGCAGAGATTGAGTGTGGTAATGGCATGACCACCATGATGCAGTTAGCTGGTGGCGTTAGGAGCAGTATAGGCTGATGGGGAGAGAGTAAGCAAAGTGCTGGAGTTTGAGCACTCTGGGAACATCAGTTTTGCCAGGGACGCGTGGCTGAAGCAGATATTTGCAGTGTGATTTTCAGGTAGCTGTTGCTGCGGGCCTAGATAGAACTTCAGATACTTCCATAACTGGTAGAGATATCAGATGTTCCATGGAAATAATGGTACGGCTCAAGTCCCTGCTGCCTTTTCAAGGGTTTTGGTCTTGTCTCAGCCAACTGACATTTGTACGAGGTGGAGCCATGCAGACCTGGTGTTTATCCTGGTGCCCAGGGGACTCACACTGGGTCGGTACTGAAGCACTGAGGTGCCCTTATGTTCTTTGTTACTACCACTTTCCTTGTGGTGTTATGTGTCCTTAACAGCATGCAGTGGCAGCGCAGCCAAGGCTCCCTGCCATGGCACGGTACTGCAGGTTGCTGCATGCATTTGCCTGCAGTTGAGTACAAATCCCATTATTTCTTTCGTTGTTGTCATCGGTTACTTTTTCTCAATTGTAATGAAATTGGTTGCACCCATGAGACAGGTGTTGCTGGTGTAACGCTGGTGGCAGTGTTCATGAGTGTTACGTATTGGCGTGTGAAGTGATGATGGGATTTTAAGGTGGCCTACAGTAACCCTGTGGAAACATGGCATCTGTTTTTCATCAAGTCGCATTACTTTGAAAATTCACCTGTCGCTATTAGTAAAGAAAAATGACTGCTCTGAAAAACAACTACTGAAGAAAATGAAGGATTTTTACTCTTTTGTATGAATAAGGCTTACTGGTTTGCTGAAAATTGCTGATAAGATTTCTGAATTCCTTAGGGAGTCTATAATTTTTCTCATATTTCTGAGGCATCTGTAAAAGAAGTCCCATTCATAAACCACTTAGGAGGGGCAGGATATGGAAAGATACTTTGTGATTTTAAAGATAATTCAAAACACTGAATACTTATAATAATTCCTGCTCTTACATACTTAAAATTGTGTGCTGAGTAATAAGGTAAGCTTAATGTACAGGTGGGTACAGTCATTTTCAGCAACAGTGATTTAAAACAACAACAAAAAATTAAATTAAGCCCTCCTTTGGCTCATTTGCCTCTCTTTGCGTTTTACTTTTGGAGATAAGATTTTGAAAAGAATGGAAAAATAGTGCAACTTCTCTTTTTCTTTCCATTTCGGAAGTGTTGATAGAGTCAATAGATTTTTCACAGTACTTGTGAAAACCATGCCACTTCTCATTTACTTTTCTGAAAAAAAATCTATTACATTTATTCACCTCATATAGTGAATCCACCATCCTGGTGGATCTCCCGGATGTACCTCCAAATATATGGACACTTTAGAAAAAACGGGCTCAGAATTCTGTGTCCCTACCTCAGTTCTGCGTCTATTCAAGAAGAAGAGTGAACCTTACTCCAATACAGTCATTTGAGACCTAGGGGTGAAAGCACTATATAATAGCTGTGTAACATTAGTTTCATTATATAGCAAAAATATGAAACAGCATAAAGCTGGGAGAGACTAAGGGATTCTGGTAGAGAGAACAGAATTGGAATTAATGATGTTGAGAAAAAACCTGAAAAATCAGTATGTTTTTGGATGAGGACAAGGGCAATCTGCTGTATAGATCCAGGATGGGAAGCTGTTGGGGCAGCACTTCTGCAGAACAGGGTTTGAGGGACACACAGTAAAAGTGAACCAGTTGTGTGGTAGTGATACAAAAAAGCCAAATAATGTAGTGGGATGTATAAACGGGAGATAGTGCAGTCTTTCATACAGTCTCTTTGGTCAGCAGTAGCAGGATCCCAGGTAGAATAGTTAGTACAGCCTGGGCACCACACTTTAAAGCAAGCTGTGGACTGATTAGGAAGTGTTCAGGGAGAGCAATGAAAATGGTCAGAAGTTGAGAAAATGAGACTTATTTGGAAAGACTGACAAAGTAGTTATTTTGCCCAAAGAACGCCTAACAATGGCGTGTTGTCTGTTTGCAAATGTGGAAAAGATGGTTGCAAAGAGGACAGGGCTTGTCTTTCTCTGTTTTGCACAGAGAGGATTAGAAATACCTGGTTTAAGCTGAAGAAAGAGACATTTCTGCTGACATAAGGAAAATGCTATAGCAATTAGGATAATGAATTATTGCAGTACAATATCAAGGAGGTTGTAGCTCTTGGTAAAGAAGTCCTTTTAAGACCAGATTAGACAAACTGTCAGAAATAAAATAGGGACAGCAGATCATGCTTTGAAAGGATGACTTCCCAAGGTTTTCACCAGCTTTATTTTCCTACAGTTTTTGTGAGAAGGCCATTTGAAACAAAGACTGTTATTTGATTTTAGAAGTTAACAGACAAAAATTGCAAGTATTATAAGGAAATTTTCTGTGTCTTTTGGACTGAATTTGGGGAGTTCAAAACTTAGGAGTTCCCATAAATGAAAACAGAATTTTGTATTACCTTCCGTGCTAAATAAGCTTGGTTTTAAAATTGGAAATAGTTGTGAAGAGGGTGACATACTTCCATGCTCTACCCAGAAATTAGACTCTATTCCATTAAAATGATTGTGAAAACAAGTCGCAGTCATTTTCATATCTATAACATTTATCATGTTATACCCTGGTGGGCTCTTAAGACGTGTCTCCTAGCAGTGGGGCTCAGATTTCTTGCTATCCTGAATCTGTTTAGCTTCTGTTTAATTGACAGTAAATGGAACAAGAGTCCTCACTCCAAAACCACAAAGAAAGAGATACTAAAATGAAATTTCCCCAAATAGGCAAATACCGTAATCTGATTCTTTCATCTTTCTCACAAATATTTCTCTTCGATCAGCAAGGTAATAATGAACAGTGAAAGTGAGCATCTGATTTAGCCATTCCTTAGGGTGAGTAGTTTGCATCTCTTGGAGCTTCTGTTCAGCATTTTTGAAAACTCCGGTAGCAAGTTGGTGGTTTTGTTGGTCACTGTGCAGTAACTGTCTTCATTACACTCATGCATTGGCTGTACTGGTAATTCGCCCCAGCTGCAGTGGTACAAATCCCGAGCAGAGCTGTGTTTTAACTCAGTTTCAGCTGGGAAATTTTCCTTTTTTAAAAGAAACTGCCTTGGAAGAGTTATCAGCTCATTCCAAACTCACTATTATCGCTGTTTCACAACTTTTTTTTTCACATGTTGTTTTTTTTGTCTCCATTATGGCCAAAACCAGGATAATAATAAATTTGCTTCATGTATCAAAACAGCGGGATCAGCTTCACTCGGTCCCCTGCATATATTTCTCACAAAGTAGATAATTAAATGTTGTGTCTAGATAGTCCCGTTTTGTCCTTTAAATGAAATTCCAAGATTTTATAAACCGAAAATTTTGGCACATGGTGGACTATGACAGTGATGACATTCTCCCTTTTTCAGTACTGACGGGCAGACCATGGGAGGAAGAAAACAGGAAGAGCAAGGTAGATTAAGATGAGAAATGTATGAGAAAAATTATTGGGTACCATGTTTCTAATTCAACTCAATATCTTACAGAGTTATTTTTTGCATCTCCCTTTTTTTTATTGTTAATCAGTGGTTTTGCCTGGGGTTAGCCTCAAATAATGCAGCCTAAATTGGCTAGTAGTACTTCTAATTTAACCATACAATAGAATATACTCTGAGTAATTTGAGAAATTATTTTTACAAATCAATAGTTCTTTCTTTGGCTGCCTGATATGACTCGTGTAGTGTTACTTCAGTTTGTTATTAAATTAATTTCATTCTTTTCTAATTATATTTCTACTGTTTTTTTCATACATGTTAAAAAAATTAATTCTACTATCTTATATAAATAGAATAAGTTCCATCTAGTTCCTGCTTTTCCAGGTAAGCAATATTGCCTTTCTAAGGGATTACCTGTACTTGGCTTGCTTTATTGAAGAAAATGTTTCTTTTTCTAACCACTCACTGGTGTTAATCCATTCTCTTACTCTGTTGTGAGAAGAATATTCAAAACAATTGGTAAATAGTGCAATAAATAATACAATTTATTATATCAACTTACAATGTAATGCAGTGAATATTGTTTTTATTGCAGTCTTATTTTTTCATAATTAGATAAAAACTCTATCCTAAAACAATAAGTGGTATAATTTAAACTATAAATTTCTTCTTTTTCATTTGTAGAAAAAGACAAGTTTTGTGCATTTTTAGATTTTAAAAGCCTGGGCAATAAAAACTCCCTCTATTTTTGCTATAGACAGAAACTTACCTCACAGGAGTTGCCTCCACACAGACTCTTCTTGCTAACTGTGAATAACTTATATCTTTTCAAAACTCTTGTAACTGAAGAAATATTTGTGTTTAATTATATTTGATATTCCAATGAAACAAATATACTCATCCTTCTTCTGAAAAAAAGAATACATATGCTGAAACAAAAAAGTAATCCTTCTCCTTTGTCCCCGAAGTTGTCTTTACAAAACGAAAATGATAGTTTTGGGGTAGTTGGGGGTTGCGAATGATTGTATCTTGCAGTGCTATAATCACCACAATCACTTACTATGAAAAAAAACAAACCAAACCAAACCAAAACAAATTTTGAGAAGCAATCACTTGCTTTATTTGGATTTTATTTTTGTTGCAACTTGTGTAAATATTTTGGCAAAGACCTAAATTGATCACAGACACTGAAATAACTTCAGTAATTACATAGTGAATTAATTAGTTAAATACTTTAATTGAAACCCCAAATAAAACAAACTGAGTTCTTTACTTGGAGAAGTGGATAAAGTATAAAATTGACAGCAAGAAAACCAAAATACTGATGGGGATGGCTTCAGAAATATTTCTCCCTTGTTTTGTGGTTGGCTGATACTATGGATAAATTAGTTTTCCAGAGATGAGAATAGGTCCCATCTCTTCCTTGGTCATTGGTTTTTATTCTCCTGGGGCAGATAGCTTAGTTTCCCTCACGGAAAGTGGGCCACGTCCAAAAAGACTTGGCAGTATATCCTGGTGACGCCTCACTGCACTGTTAGGGACTGCTCTGTTGGGAGCTGCCAACCCCATTTTTTTTTTTTTTTTTTTTTTTTTTATATAGATAGGGAACTGAGTGAGCTCACAAGCAAATATTAAAAATACAACAGGTGTAGCAAGCTGGTTGTGATGTATTAGTACCTCCGAGTAAGAAGCACCTGGGAGTACAGGTGCCTTCTCCTCTGGGCAGCGTTGAGCTCTGGTTGAGGTGACTAGATTTGCTGTCTCGCCGCGTGGCACCGCCGGCTGCGGGACTGCCGATGCCTCAGGAAGGGCAGGAGGTGGGTCATTTACTCGGAAGGGATCATCTTTAGGTTGAGCTGCTTCAGCGTGGAGAAGTCCCTTCTCTGCAGGGCGCTGTGTGTTTTATGGGGGGGACTCTTCAGCGAGAGCATTATAAAGAGAGCAGGGAATAGCACTGGGCCACAAAATAACAGGGTTTGGGAGACCCAGGATAGGTTCAAGGAGAGGATTCAGTGTGTTACCAGAGGCACAGGCTTTTACAGCCTTTGGGGGTGTCTCTGACAGGTGAACCAGCTGCAGTCAAGCAATGCAGGCTGGAAAATAAAATGGATGTAGAGGAGAGGTGACCTGGAGCATGAGGATTGCTTGAAACCTAGGACTTTTGAGGGTTTTTTTTAGTCTTCATTTATTAAAACTTAGACATGGCACTTTTAATGATTATTTAAAGATAATCAAGATGGTAGTTGCATCCCTACCACTGAAGGTATGCGGTGCTCTGATGTAGTAAGCTGCAAAATAACTCTTAAAACTGTTCCAGCAACTCCGTGCCAATATGAGAGAGATGGAGAAACTCTGTCTGCAAGTCCGACAGGAAGACATCCCGGTTCTGCAGAGAATGATAAGTCCTGTTAAAGAGGAAGCTTCATTTGCCATCAAAGACTTCCTGCAGCTCCATTCTGAATCTGCAGAAGAACTTAAAAGGCAACTCGAAGGACAGGAGGATGCCTCTTTAACCAGATCTGCAACTGTAGGAGGAGGTAGTAGAATTTAATTTCTGTACCTGTTATGTATCCAGTCTGCAGTTTCTCTGATGAGATATAAATGAAGTAAACAAATGAGATTTCAGTTTAATAATAACTGTTAATCGAGAAATGATTAACACTTTTTTCATGACCCGTGACTGAGTTTTGATAAGTGGACACTGCACTAATTAAGTATCTTCAGAAACTCCATAGCTGTAGCTTTCCATGAGAAAGATTCTGTGGCCTTGGATATTGAAATAACGGTCTGTTCGTAGGAAGCAGAATACTTACATTCATGTTTCATGGTATCTTGACTTCTTTTTTTTTCCTTCTGCAAATCACTTGATCATGTGCAAGTAATCATTTAGGACATTTTCATCGAATTAGTGCTTGCAACATCAAGAAAACAGTTTTTATATGACAGACAGTATAATATGCCACTGATGAAATATGTGGAAAAGAGGAGCGTCTCTGTATAAATGAGAACATCTCCCTGTAGCATTTTAACTTGGGAACTGTCAAGAAAGCAGAAAGTGGTATAAATGCATTTAAAGAAAAGATTTTGAAAACACACTATAGCATGGTATGGTTCAGACATGTTTGCTGGTTTTCCCTCCTTACTGTACAAAATACTGTCCATTGTTTTACCATTCTGTCTTCAGAGGAAGCCCGTAGGCTCTGGTACCAGTTAGTGTTCTCTGATGATGATCTGTGAGAACATTGGTTACATCAGGATTAGATCCTTCCACATAACAGTAAATAGTTTGATTGCTGCAGTAACAGTATGCTTTAAAATTGTTTGAAAATTTAACATGTCTTAAAATTGAGAGAGTATTCACATTCAGTGGCATTGTAGAAGAACCTGCCATCAGATTTGATTTCATGACCCCTCTTGTTGCTACATAGAGAACTACAAGAACTCCTTCAAGTGTGATTAACATGCTAGTGAATCCAGTGGTTGAAGAGGGAGAAAAGTAGATGTGAAGACTGGGCTTGTTTTGGAGAATGTCATGTGCCGTAGTATCAAAAATTCTTAGGAACATCAGAACATATCAAATACAGAGCCACAGAATGGTTTGGGTTGGAAGGGACCTTCAAAGATCACCTGGTTCCACCCCCCCTGCCCCGGGCAGGGCCCCCTTCCCCCAGCCCAGGGTGCTCCCAGCCCCGTCCAACTTGGCCTTGAACCCTTCCAGGGAGGGGGCAGCCACAGCTGCTCTGGGCACCCTGGGCCAGGGCCTCACCACCCTCATCATAAAAGGTTTCTGTCTTCTTACGAGGCAAATAAAAAAGACCAAATTGGCCTTTGCATGTGAATCTCGAGTTTTTCAACATTTTCACCATCTTGTAGTTGATTGCTCAGTAGTTTGTCCGAATACCTTTGTGGGTTTCAAAGTTTGGCTCTTTATTTGCTGCATTCTCCTTCCCCTCCAAAAAAGGAATATAATAACTGAATCTGTTCTCTTGCTGTCCTCTAGGACCCCCTTCTTCAGGTTCTCAGAAACATGCTTGAACTTTCAGAGGCTGTTTCTTAAATGCTGTAGAGTGAATTTCATCAAACTGTCAGGACTCAGGGGTCCCTTTTTTTTTTCTTGTTCAAATTAATTGCATCAAATACCTGATTACAGCTACCTATTTGTAAAAAGACTGACTTAATCTTTCTGTGGGTCATCTGTCATTTTCTTTCTTTACCTGGCAATGCACTTACACTTCCTTTGTCTTCCTCTAACTTCAAAAGCATTCATAGAAACTTTCTTGCTACCTTTTATGCCCCCTGGCAGTTGCAATTTATTTGTATATTAGTTTTTCTGATACTAACATGCTTACATTATACCCTGTACTCATCTTAATTATGTATCAACTTCTTGATATCCAGGTCATTGAAGAGCTCTTGCTGAAGCCAGAAACATTTTCCTCTTCATCAAGACAATTTGCTGTCATCTTCCAAATAGCCTGTTTTATTAGTCTCTGTCAGCTCTTTTGGAGTCCTTTATCCTTTAGGAACTTCTTCCCCATAGTTTCTATTAATCAGTTTGCTGAATTTGTTGATCTCTTTTTTGAGGGGAGCTCATTGTCTTCAGTCTTTTACTCTGAGTTTTACAATAGTGAACTCTGGTATTCAGTGATCCTCTTCATCCATATTAGCTATTACTTTCAGGCTCTTTGTGAGCTCTTCTCTGTTATGATCAGAACTAAATTTGAAATACCTCTTCGTAACTTTGTGCAGTTGTCCTCAATATATTCCGATATTTCAGTGGAAAGGCCTTGTCCTGGCTTATTGCTTTTCTAACAGTTACATAGACGGTAAATGGGAACTAGAATTTAATTTCAAAGAACAGAACTGCTTTTTAAATCTGAAATACCTTTGAAGTATGGAGGACATTGAGCATAACAGCTCTTCAGAAAGACAAGAAATTGATCAGAAAGATTGGGATGAGAAAAACAGAAAAATATTACTGGAATGACATGCTCCTGCAAGTCCGCTCAAGAATATGGAAATAATGCACCCCATTTAAAGTGAAATATACAATTAAACAGATATTTTTTTTCAAGTTTGCCTGCCTGCCTGTGGAAGCAGCTCTGTTGAATTGTTAACACAGATGCAATATATTGCCTATTCTTTTGTGCTTAGAGGCTGCAGTCCTGAAAGCAAATCTTGGCTGCTGATCTTAATCAAAGGAGCTTCAGTATGCCCATTCTTCGTGGCATGTTGCTTCCCATCTGGTAGAGAAGGAGGAAGTTTACAAATTCAAATCGCCCATTTAGAAGGCATGTCAGTAATATGATGTAGTCCCTTCCCCCCCTCACCATCCTCAGCTGAGGTCCAATAGAAATGGAATTTAATTGCATTTTAAACAAATATTAACAAAAGGTAAGACTCCACTCTTAAAATTACTGAAATCTTTTAAGCAGCATATTGAACCTTCCAGAGCATTAGATTTTTATCTTGAGTGTAATGAGGTGTGAAGCTGCTCTATGAAATCTGCAGAGGTGTTTTGTATTATTGCATTTCTGTGGAGATGCTGTAAGTGAACTGGTGGAGTCACTTCCATTCTCAGTTCTATTAAAATTGGTTAGACTTGATAAGACATGAACTAGTGAATATAAATTTCTTACTCATACTTTCAGTCCAAATGTGACTTCACCTTCTCTTACCCTTCTTGTTCTTTACCGTAGTTTTTTTGAAGTGAGTAAAGAATTTTCCTGAGCAATTTTTTCCCACTAATTTTTAGTTATTAGAAAATTTTAACAGTGTAAACCTGGTTACAATTTTAAGTTCTTTTGAATGGGCGTCATGCAAAACTTCAGTGTCATTTATGTACTTTGAAGGATGTACTTTTCACAATAGGTCAGCAGAGATTAAGGACAGACCAGAGTAGGGAACATAATCTGTGAAGCAGGCAATTTTGCTTAGTGAGCTGCTTTTTTTTTTTTTGCTTTTGAATTATGAATATTTTAATTTCAACCAATTTAGCATGCATGTGGCTGATTAGGGAAGAGTAAGCTTTTCTTGGTGGAAGAAACTTGATTTTGAAATAGGATTGTGAAGGATGGAAACGGAATAAAATACTCAAACCCAATGTTAAATGTCATAATACGTAGCAGAATTGGTTTCTCAAAAAAATGCACACATTTGGATATATGATTAATTATGTTGAAAAGGGAAAAGCAGTATTTTAGAAGTGAGTATATAAAATTAATTGATGTTATAAAACAAAAATATGTTCTGGAAGAACAGGTGATGATTGTAGAAGGTGAAGTGCCTTCCATGTCTAGATTTTTAAAGGAAAGGGAGTAGAAATAATTAGAAAGAAAAACAAGCCCAAAATAAACCCTAAAATCACTTCCTCCATCGTTGTCACTCTGCTCCTCTACTTGCTTTTAATTATGGCTGAATATCAGCTTCCATGATGTTAAACTTCTATTGATCTGAGAGTAGGAAGATTAGGTTCTTAATGTATTTTGAGATACTGGGATAAAAATGTTGAGAAATGGACAAATGTTACAAAAATGTGTGATTTTTATTTTATCTTAAATTAGTTCCATGAATAAGTATGCACTATTACTGATTTCTTTTTAATGAATACGATTATTTTTATTTGTTTTCCATTGTTCATATCTGTTGTAATGACAGTTACATATTATTACAGTACCTTGGCACATTCTTTGTTTCTAAAGATTTTAACGCAACATTCACACTTCAGTATTGTTAGACAGCTCTAACCAGTCTTTCCCATATTAAGCTTTCTCTTCATACTACCCTCACAAGGAAGGAAACATCAGTGTCCTACTGAAGTAGATGTCTTCCTTCAGAAATTGTTGTCGTCTTAACTCATCATGATCTTTGCCCTGTGTTTCCACACATACGTTCTCCCGTCTGCCTTTCATACGCTCAGGCTATTCCGTAATCCTTGCTATGACAAGCCAAACTTGCCTGGGATTATTCTTTGTGACCACTTAATTACTTGTCCATAATGATGCACATGTCCATTGCATCCGTAGTGGCTCAAGACTGGACTCTCTGACAGGAGGAGGTGTGTGTGTGGGGGGTGGCTGTTCATTGTATCTGCTCTCCCCTGGGCCACCTGGCTGTCTCTCATTCCCCATTTTTTCCACCGTACTTTCTCCTAATGTCTTCTGTGTTCAGTTCAGGTGATGTAGAAAGGAAGATACTTGAGAATATCTCCTTTACACCACTGAGCTGCAAATGTTTGTCATCCTCACAGGACCGTTACCCAGCTGGATCCCGCACTGAATGGCGGGCAGCATGTTACTTGGTTCTCACTGATTTTACTTTGAAGGCTTTTTCCTCCAGCTTCTTTTGGTCTCAACTGGCTGAAAATCAAACCAGTAGCATAATAATCAAGCATAAAATGAATAACTGTCCGTTCAGTTTTGGAAGCGCGGTGTTTTTATGTGTCATATGTAAAGATTTTGTCCCAAGCTCAGTTTTCTTAGCTTGGTTGATATAAAATTAATTACCTGCCCTTGAATTCAGGAGTATAATTTAATATCGTTCTCAGAACTGGTTGTGAGAGTGTGCTGATAGAAATTAATCCATTTCTGTGGCAATAACTTCCTTTTGAGAAACTGTCTAGTTCTGTGAGTAAGACTTTTCCCTATATGATCATTTTCAGGGCTGTTGCTCAGCTTGAATTGGGTTAAATATCAATTTATCCTTGAGAAACGTTAAGAGTCAGAAACTTTACACATCACCTGCCTTCTGATTCAGTGCGTTTATTTATAAACATCATGTTTCTCATTCAGAAACTTTATATAACATGGAGGTGAAGGATGGCTCGCAAAGTTTAATCCAGATCTACTCCCGCCTTCCTAAAATACCTCAGGAAGAAAATGCAGCCGAGTCCTGGGAAACTTTAGAAGAGGTATGTTGGAACTCCCTCACTGCCATGTTGGTGCTCTTGTTTTTTAGCAACTATTATAAAATAACATTTGTTTTTTATTTGTAGGACTTGATTCAGCTTAGCCAGTTGGTGACTGATTTTTCTCTCTTAGTCAATGTAAGTATTAATTCTGCATTCTATCCTAGATGGAATCTTGTACAAAAGGAGGGCAAATGAGTAACTCCTAGGTGGAGGAAAAAAAGATGAGCAACAGATCTGCCCTTAGTGAACTCAGACTGAGCTAGTATCACTTGATCAAAGCAATAGAGCAGCACAGTAACATTAACTGCATTTATTCAGTCCGGTATTCAAGACTACAAAATCCTGGTCACTAATAGGAACTTCAGGAAAATGCCAGTAGAGGCAGAGCAGTTTCCCCACAGTGAGCTGAGATGCCTACACAAAGGTGCTGTCTTTGCTACTTGGGACCTGTGGTAAATACACCTGTAGTTTCAAAGCTGGTACGTTAGCTACTTCCCAGAGTCACAGGTGATGCATATAATGTTTACATCAGATTGTCTAGCAGTAAGGTGAAAGGCTTTCTTTTGATTTTTCAAGTGCCAACAGAAGAGGAATGTTCAGAAGCCTTAGCTTAACTACTCAGATGCCCCATCTGGTTAGAAAACTAACAGCTCTTCCTTCCCTCCATCAGTGACTCATTGCTACAGGTGTCTTTGTGGCTCCCGTTGATTCAGGCTCTGTCAAGATAATCTTTTGAGGAGGCAACAGTCATCTCTTTTCAGCGCTAGTGCTGATAATTGCTCCTGAGTTCTTGTCACCAGAGCAACTACTGATGTTCTAGCCAGTGCCCTTGGCCACAAGCTGAACCTTAGTAGAAGCTCTGCAATGTTGACCGCAGACGTCTACCCAGGTCCCATTCATTTTTACAATTTCTGATCGTAATGGTGATGGTAGCCTTCACTGCACAGGGTGGGTGTTTCTTGGGTATTTTTTCTCACTTAATCATGAGCACTAGAAAAATCCGAAGTTGCCTTTGCCTTTATTGTGCCCTTTCTCTGCTCTCACAAAGCTGCCAAAAGGTCTTCATCATGCACACTCAGTTCTCAATGTGTAGTGTGCCACAGGGAGTTGAAATCCACAGTTCTCATCTCCTGGGAGAGTTCTTTAATCTCCTTGCTGTTGGGTTAGTTGGGATAGATAACCTAGCTTTTATCCTTTCTGCTGAATATGTGCTGCTTCACATACACAAAGAAAAGACTAAGATTCATTAGGCTGGAGACGGACTGCAAAAATTTTTATTCAGTAGCCTGAATGTTGTCAGCTTTAGCTAAAAAGGAGGAGTTCCTGTTCCCAGGACTTTCTGGATTTTACACATTAACCATCATGAGATATAATAGCAAGCATCTAAAGTGTGTGGATTGGATAGTAGATGAAGATACCAGAGATGGTAAATTCAGCAGTTTCTGAATTAGAAAGAGGAAAAAAGTTCAGAATGCCTTTTATTTTAAACTGAACATCAGCTATCTCATTATTTTGTGACATAAAACAGCCTGGGTACTGCTGAGATTAAAATAAGAACAAACAAACCCGCAAACCCCTTTATCTGCTGCTCGAGTGTTCTCTGAGAGAGACCGCAGGGGAATGTGACTGCATTTGGAGAAAGGATGGAACATTTTTGTGAAATCAAACAGGAAAATACAGACCAACATCAGCTACATTTTCAGTACTGTCACTACTCGTAAAGTTAAGTCAGTGCTTTCTAATGTCATAATTAAACACTTTTATTTAGATTTCTTGGTGTAGCTTTCTGTTGGAGTTGGTACTGATTTTATAAATGCTCTTTATAGAGTTTTTTTTGAATGTGAAACTCTGCAGGAAACAAAAGGGCTAGTTTGGATTATTTTTCCCTTTGGAATGTGAGTTCATCTATTCACAGAACAGATTTAGAAATCATATGTTTTGGGTTGTTTTCTCTAACTGCAGCAACACCTTGTATAATACCCACACCACAGTATTACTTAACAGCTAAGATTTTTTTAAAGTAAGTTTGTCATTTCAGCACAGTTTATCAGCTGCTATTAATGAACCACCATTAAGGCTGCACGGCTGCAGTGTACAGCAGATGAAAGCGGCTGTGGAGTCCTGATTACAGGCATTAAAATGGTGTGTATTGGCTCACTGCTGCTTCACAGCAGGCTACCTCACTCATAATTCCTTTGCATCTAGTCTCAGCAGGAGAAGATTGACAGGATTGAAGACCATGTCAACAGTGCTGCTGTGAATGTTGAAGAGGGAACCAAAAACTTGGGGAAGGTAGGGATCTGCTCCTGCTGGTGAATCAATGGTACTCTGCCTCCCAGCAATCCTCGGTATTAACCCAATTGATCTGCCGTCTTTAATGCTGAGGGAGCCAGCAATTAAGGAAATAAGGAAGAAACGACCCACAGGTAGCAGGGAAAAAAAATAATCAATCTCTCTTGTAATTTTCTATCACATCCAGGCTACTAGGAAATACAGGTTTTTTGGGTTTTTTTTTTTTTTTTTATGCTATTCTGATGCTACTTTGGTTTACCTGCAAAGACGAGCATTCAGTGATTGGCTCACAAGAATCAAATAAGTGTTAAACAGGCTGATGATAACATGCAATTTCAATCCCGTTCTATGTAGATGTCAGTGATAGTTGCTAATAAGCTAGAAACCTGGATTGAGGCACGTTACTGACAAGTCTGAGCATTTTTTCAGTTCCTCACTTGATTTAATGGTGGAGACCGGGTAATGAATAGTGTACCTGATCAGCCAGAACCATGTGAAAGGACCTGGTTCACAACTGTGTACATGAGATACAGCGCAATTTTGAATTGTTTTTAGTAAGTTCTGTCATATATGTGGGCTAGTAGATCGTCTTTTTTTAAATACAAATTTGTAAAGTTTATTTATCACTGAGCATTCAAGTCATTGCCAAGAGCAACGAGGGGAAAATGCACATCACCCCAGGCAAGCATTCTAACTCTATTTTTTTTTTTTTTTTCCCCTTTACAGGCTGCAAAATACAAGCTGGCAGCTCTGCCTGTGGCAGGTGCAGTCATTGGTGGAGTAGTGGGGGGTCCTATTGGTCTCCTTGCAGGCTTCAAAGTGGCAGGAATTGCAGCTGCACTTGGTGGTGGGATTTTGGGTTTCACAGGTGGAAAATTGATACAGAGAAGAAAACAAAAAATGATTGAGCAGGTCTCTTCCAGCTGTCCAGAGCTTTCTCGCCAAAGTGCCAAAAAATCCAGCTGAAGTACAGATTCATTATGGCCAGGAACAAAACCATAGTAGCCATGCTAATGACAGACTTGCAGCCTTATGCTTTAAATACAAGGCTGAGTTGTGTGAATTTTGACAACGGTACTGTTACTTGGGAGGGGTGAAACAATAATGTCAGAATTTCTCTTTCAAGATGTGGTGACGTCAGTCCTTTCAAAATTATATGGATAACTTTTAATTATAAAATTCTTAGGTGAGCTGTACGCACAGCTGTAACGGTGAGTGACAGGTGCTTCATGCCAAATTTGCACAAAGCGTCTCGCAGACAATACAAAGACAGATATTTGGAAAACCCTAGTGCTTACCCATGAATGCCACCCGGAAGCTGGAGCTTTCATTACAGTGCTCCAAAGAAAAGGCAATAAGCTCCATCTTTCTGTTGTGACCATAGTACTTTAATTTATCTGGATTCCCAAACTCCCCCTGTGCATGGCCCCGGGACACGACTGACTGTGCCTGGCCACTAACACGCAGGGAGGTGTTAGCTGCCATAAGAAAAGGTGAAAACGTTGGGTGAGCAATGTGGAAAAAACCCCTTTCTGTATATCTCAGATCAGCATAATGAGCAGCTTTTCCCTTTTTGGGTACTTTTTTTAATTTGTAAACTCTTCATCTGATTCAAAGTGTAGTTAAGAATGAAACAGTCTGGGCAGCAACCCTGCAGAACCACTACTGGAGAATAATAATTTTCCATGGCTGTTCATCTCCGTGGCTTGTCCTGAGAACACTGTACATGATGAAGTGCCAGGCTCTGGCATTTTGAGCTTGAAGCCTCACCTTAAGCAGCACTTACTGCTAGACGTTGCCCTTGCTCCTCCTGTCACCGCCAGCGCTCGGGTGGGAGAGCTAAGCGGCGCCGCAGGCCCGCAGCCAGGCCCGCAGCCAGGCCCGCTCCCTCGCTAGGCCTTTACTGTCCCTCAGGGGTGGCCTCAGGCGCCAGGTCAGGGGATGGTGAAGCAGCGAGGCCCTTTCAACGGTGCCCACGGAGGACACCGCCCGGCGAGGGGACTGCTTTGGACGCGTCAGCCCCACGCTGTTAACAGTGGGGAAACCACGCTCGGCCGGGCCGGCTGCGCGCCGCCCGCCCGCTGTTCGGTTCCAGGTCTGCTCCCACCCGCGCTGCAGAGCAGCTCCTCAGCCTTTGCAAGATGTTGGGACGCGCTGTGGAGCCTGGTTGGGGCGAGATGCTGTTCATGCTTTTGCTAGCTTTTTATAGCTTTTTTATATTCTTACCATCCTTGTTTTGCTGCTCAAGAAGCCTTTTGCTTCTGAAACTTCCGTTGTTAAATACGGACGCGGTAACGTGTTTTTATTGTCACATAATTGTCCTAGTATCACAAAACCTACAGTTCAGCACATGGTCCTACCTCCGTCCTGCCAGGACAGTTCCCACGCTATTGCTGCTGCTGTTCGGGGGGAACAGAAATTGAGGTTGGGAAGCTGCTTTTTAAAGTTTTTAGATTGTTGAGTTCATGCTAAGCTCTGCTTCAGTCCAGTTTTATGAGGTGAATGCTGAAGGCAGTGTTTAGTGATAAGGCTCCTTAGCAGGGAGCACTGGATAAGGAAGCACACTTTGGAAAGAGATCCATTCTAACCAGTACTTCGATACTGACATTGGAAATGACTGTCTACTCATGACAGATGATAGGTTTTTGTGCCTACAGGCACTTTAAGCAACTGTTAGTTACAGCACAAATACCTTTTTCTGAGCAGCTCTTCCTTATTACTTCTCAAATATGATTGAAATTGCTATTAGTCAGAGCATTGTGTCTATTTTAAGTAGGTCTGAGGCTCAGGGAAGCAATGTGTACGAGAATAGTTTTCACAGGTAATCGTGAACATTGTCAAAACTGCATGTGTTAAAGCCAGAGTGCCTACATCTGTAAAATCAGCTGGAGTGGAAAACATGACCCAAGTAATTCAGCTCATTTGCTCCTGTCAGGAAAAAAAGTGCTTTTCTTTAAATACATCTACTTTGGATGTAAACACATTTAATGAGCTTGTAACAACTTCATACTAAGGCTGTTTGTTCCTTTGATAATGTAATTTCTGCATTTAAAGGAAGAAACTAAGAAAAAAAAAAAAGTGTTCTTAATCAGAAACTGTGGTTGGTTCTTTGTACAATTTTAAAAAGCTATGTCTGCCTTCCTACTGTATGCTTTGAAACCTTGTGCATTTAAATGACAGCAGCCACATCACAGACATTGTGGGCTCCACCTAATGCCAGGACAATCTAAATTCAGCAAACTGAATTCCTGCCACAGCTTATACCAATTCCGCTTGGTAAGCACTCATTTTATAAAATGTCTAGCACAAAAACTATTCTTCCACCCCACATCTTTAAGGAAGCAATTTCAAAACATTGTGTACGTACTTTGACTTGGGAGACTATTATTTAAACTACGACTTTTTTTTAAATAGGTGGGTTATTTACATATGTGAAAACACAAGGGCATCTGAGTAACCAAACTAGCATTTAAATTGCTAGGCGTGTTAGAAGAACTGTAAGCTACAAATAATTCTTTCAGACCAAATAAAAGTTTTTGCCTATGAGACTGGTTGTAGTATTTATTGAGAATGTTGGGGTTTATTTCCTTTCAGCATCTAAAAGTTGAATCCCTCAAAAATGGTATAATATTAAAATAATTGTGTTTCCAAGATTTAAGAATCCTGTCTTGAGTTACCAAACACCTGCTTCAGCTATTGAAATACTTACATTGACTGGAATTAACACAAGTTCCTAAAACACTACGTGCATCTGATAACTCAGACACACATGCCTGCTCAGACATGGACACCTTAAATTCAGTTTAAAAGGTTGGAATGGTTTTGTTCCATCCGGGGATAACACGAATACTGTTTGACAACTTCCCGTGAAGGCCCTGCCAAGTGTTGAAGGGATCAGTCAGCCGAGCACCAACTGGTTAAAACCACTGATGGAAATGATCCGAGGTGAAGAGCTCAGTTTGAAGCACATTTTGTCCAGCACTTGCTCTCTAGGCAAATTCTCTGTATCATCGGATACCTAAAAGCTCAAGCAATACTCGGCATCACGTTAAGCAAGCATACCTCAACTGCAGCTGTTCAACCTTCCACTTGCAAATAGAAAAATCACTTGATGAGCCAGGTCACTGCTCATCAAGAACCCAGGGGACTCGGGTCCAACTCCACTGAATACAGAATGAAATCACTTGAGTGTGTAACGGTCATAAAACTGTTACATCTAATTGTCCACCTAGTGCTGGGATGCCAAAGCTCTGGGAACGAGTCCTTACTCAGAAAAGTAAACGTAGAATAAAGTATGGAAAAGGGGTTAAATGCTGTCCCTACTGCAGTCTTCCTTCCTGTGAAGGACAGAATCATCTTGTGTTTTCCTTTGCTTTATTAAACTGCCTTTATCTTGACCCACGAGTTTTTTTTTTCTCCCTTCTTGTCCTGCTGAGGAGCAATAGAGCAGTTTGGTGGGCACCTGGTGTCCAGCCAAGGTCAACCCACCACAACCAGCCCCTGGCCTGGTGAGTGTATGATGAGGTAGTGTCTCTCTCCGGAAAGAGGAGTTCAGCCATCTACCAAACAGCATTTACAAATAAGTGCAAGGAAAGATAGGAACTTCAGAGGAGTAAGATGAGTACTTGTAGGCAGCATGCAGGAATTGACTAAAATTCCAGGTGCCTGAACAACTCCAGAAGTTCTGTAGCACCACCTGCAGCTAACGAGCGGCAGCCTTAAAACCCAGACCCTGCTCACATCTTTAGATTCCAGCTGGAAGGACTCAACTGCCAAAAATGCTTTATTTGGCATGAGATGGAGAATGGGACAGGAGAAGACCTGGCTTTCAAGCACTTAATGTGCACTCCAAAACACAGATTCAGAAAACTGACAAAAAAAAAAAAGCATGCCTGTAAACAAACCCTTGCAATACTCTTTTAGCTAGCAATTCTGCATCTGCTCAGTTGGCTGTAGCTGAGTGGTGGTTGGTACTAGCACCTGCCTCCTCAGAATCGCCCTGAGAAGGCTCATGTGCCTGTTGCTGCAGGGGCTTGATTGAGCAGGCTCTCTTGGGATCAACTGTCACCACAGCTGCACAAGACAGCGTCAGCCTTCTGTCAAGAACCGAGCAGGTGGCATCCAGCCGAGGCCAAAGGGATCCTGAGCTTTGAGCTGCAGCAGTTGAGGCACTCACCGAAGTAAATAAGAACTCAGCAGTCCACCGATCCAAAGCACAAACTTGGTTCCAAGGTCACTAAACTTTGGGCGCCCCAACTCATGGACCTCGATTCTTTGTAGTAAGTGTACTGTACAAATACAATACTAACTCATCTCCAGCAATACACCCCAAACTAACAGATATTTTTCCACCTTACAGTTTCTATGTGTTCATCGCACCAAGCAGCCTGAAGGTTCATTGAGAAAAGCCCACATTCTGGTACTATGCACGACAGAAAAGCCCACAAGGAAAGCAGTCATTCCTTCTTCAGAGCAGAATTCAAAGAACATGCAATAAATAAGGCACAAGCCAAACAAAAAGAATAACAGAAAATGTGCAGTGGCTATTCAGAAGTAAATGTCTGCCAGGAAGGCAAGGACCCAAAGTAAAAAAGAAAAAAAAAGGACAAATCATGACATCTACACCCAGTGATTAATTTAAGACTGACAGAACTAGGATGGCAGTCCACCCCTAGTCCTCTCCTACTTTGAAGGGTTTCCAACATTAATGCCCTTTTAATACAACTGTGTGGATAATATAACAATAATTCCAGGAAATCAGAGCAGGTCAATACAGCCCTTTCCTTCATAGTATAGCCATTATCATTAAAACATTTCCTTTCCTCCCTCGGTCTTTTAATAGTCAGAATTGTTTAATCACTTAGACATTTACACCCAGTAAAGCACCACACGAGATTCTGTAAAACTTTAATTTATTCCCCTCCCACGTATCCAGAATAGAAGACCGTCTTAAGTTGAAGAAAAATGTGACAAAGGAATAGATTACCAGGATAGCTGTTCACATGAAGAAGAAGAAGAAAAAGCACATACTACCAAGGTTACACAGAAAACAACCCAAAAGTCCTATTTAATGGGATAGTGCAAGTTAACAGCATGTCTCTGGCAAGGATACCTTCATTTGGATTATAAAAGTTTTACAGAACAGAGTTAGATCAAGAGTCTGGATGGGTCTCTGGTATTTTACTATAGTATTAGGAACGTACTGTTTGAAAGATGCTGTACAGAATGACCCACCAAACAGATGTATTTACAAGCCTGGGGGAGAAAAAAAATTATTTTTCAGTTTATTCAAAATAAAAATACACATAGAATTATGAAAATATAGGTTTACTATTTCCACCACACAGAAGTCAATGCTGCTGTCTGAAAGGCTTGCAAGATTATTTCAAGTTTTTAAAGTTCATCTTTTTCCCTCAATAAGGTGTACCTATGTTCACTGGGTGCCAGTTTCTGGAATGAGCTCTCTGGTGGGCTGCTTGCTAAATCCTGAATTGGCTGAAAAACAGAACAAACAGTAAAATTGCTCATTAGAATCATTTTAACAGTTATCTCCATTAAATGTACTTCTCACATTAATTATGGGAGTGCATGAACGTCCAGCATTCTCACAAACTGAGGTTTGGGTTTTTTTGAAAGGCACATTGTAAGTCCCAAGCAGGGAGAATGAAGCACCACCAGTTAAGGATATTCCGTTTGTTGGTAACGGCCACCACACAAGTTTCTGTACAAGTGATTTAAAAGTATTTCAAACACACTCCACTGTATATCCGTTTGAGTCTATCTACCACCTGCTTTGAAGGTATTCTACTTTGTGCGTTTGAGATACACCAGGACAAGAGTAACATCACTGCCAAAATATTTTAGAATTCGTTTTCTGTGGAAACTTAAAAAAAAAAAAAAAAAACACCACCACAAAACCACCAAACCTGCAATTCAAGGGACATCCATGACCTAAGCCAGCAGCCCCCTGTTTAGTTAAGGCCAATTCCCATCCCACAGGCATACAGGTCTTCCACAAGATGGCAGGATGCCATACGGAGATGAGCAAGTAAACATCCCGGGCCTGGTGTGCATTTTTCACGGCAGAATGGAGACAAGAGCAAGCCCGCAGCTCTGGGCAACGAGTCTATGCCCAGATAGGCAGCAGCACCCAGGGACTCAGCAGGCTTCCTCCCTCCCCGGCCAGGCCTCCTCCACATTGCAATTGCCTCAGCGTCTCTTCCTCACGCGTGCCCGTCTTGCTCTGAGCCGACTGCCTGCCTGGCCTACGCCTCAGTCTCCAGCCCTGTTTTCTGCACCTCCCCTCCTGTTGACCTGAATTCTGGTTGCTCAATGAATTCCTGAGAAACACAGGGAGTTGCCAGCTAAATGAATAACTGCCGAGACAATTCAGCCCACATGTTTTCACAGACGGTCATGACAATATTAAAAAGCAGTCATTCTACAGACCCAAGGCAAGCCTTCCAGGGCTTTCATGCTTTTAAATCTTTTAACTTTGAGGAGGGCAACAGGAGGCTGCACTCACACAGCTTAGTGCAGTGCCACCCTTACCACATCCCACAGATGACCACAAAAATGAGCCTGTAGCCATAAATCGCTTCTGTCCCTCATCCATGGGTTCTGGGATGGCCCAAGGCACCCCAGCACAAGGGCACCAGGTCTCTTCTGGGACCAGCGTGGCTCTTTGAGCCCCAGATGATACAACATATAACTCAAAAGTAGTGTTAAAGAAGTTATTTCTTTAGAGAGTGCCTGAGGTAATGACAAAGTCGCCTGACAGGCTGTTACATTTGCACTTCTCAGCACACCACCAAAGCATACGATCCCAGTGGTGTATTAAGAAGATACAAGACTGATCAAGATACAGTCAGAAGACTGGGCTGAGCAGAGCGAATTGGGGCTGGTAATGTCTCTCTTTTTCTGCCTTTTAGATTAAACTGAACACTGAGGTGCTCCTAACTTTTGTCTGGAGAAGGATCTAGTAGTTACGTTCCTGGAGAGATCCCGGGAACGACTTCCAGGCATGTAATCATACATCATGACAACCTCTGAGCAGAACAGTGAGGAATCCAAACTGATAAATGTAGCCTGTGACCACTATTAATGCCCCTTGTTAACTGCATTGATAAAACTAATAGGCCCTATTATCAGTCTTTTGGTGATGCTCTCATAATCTGATACCTGCTTGGATTGGTGACTGAGTGAACATATAAAACATCCAACCAATTGGGGTTTCCCCTTAGAAGCACCCTCTCATAGTGTGACATGTGGGAGATAATGCATCTGTGACATATCATCAGTTTTTCCACTGAAATCACATGAGACCGTAAGAGCAGCTCTCTGAGCTCAGAAAAGTCACCTAGCCCAAGATCTTCTATTTCAGTGGAGACAATATATATTCTTATACTCATCCCTTATTCAAGGCAAACAGGTACCTTACTTCCCCCTAATTCTCTCCCTGCCTTTACCCAAAGGAAGTTAAAGGAAGAGCCAAAGCAGAAGTGGCGATGTTATGCTTCTATAAACAGATTTCTCCTTCAGGAGAC